TCCAGAAAGGTCATCTTTCTAAACCTCTGAGTATTTCAGACTCTCAGTTTTTGGAGATTCAGCCTCCAAAAAAAAAAATCAGCTGGTGTGATAGCTCATGCATGCCATGTTGCTCTGTGTGTGCTGGAGAACCTGTGGGCTGAGCAGGTTTGGTAAGTTCTTTGGCACCTGTCTGGTCTATTTTTAATTTTCTAATCGTGAGTTGGTGTTTGAACAGAGACGGTGACTCAGAGTAGAAAATGTATGGCTGCTGTGGCGTGGTGCTGGCAGGCAGGCAAAGAAGCAATAAGCCGTTTCTTTGAAAAAGCTCTGTATGGTCTTAAATGGCCATATTTCCTAACGTGGCAATATGTGGGATTGAAACTGTCTGCCAAACTGGGAGATGTTTGCTTCAGGTTCACTGTTCCCCAGCTGCAAACCTTTTCCACTTGAAAAATTCTTTCTGTTCTCCTTTTCTTTACCCACTGCTGCCTTCTTGCTCCCTCCCTGTTCCCCGTCATGGTGGGCCAAGACCTCCCCAGCAGTCTTGTCTCACCCATCTCACCCAACTTCCTACCTCCTCTTCATACGGCCCTGGCTGGTCTCTTCCCACTCCTGCTCAGATATGAGTTGGTGGCCTTCTAGAGCTTGATGATGCATGGGAGGACAAATATGGTTTTAAAGTATCCCAGTGATGGATGACTGCCAGTGGTGGTCTTGTGGCACCAGGATGGCAGAGTGATTGGAAAGCTTTAGGGTTAGCGGAGAGACTGCCCCCTGGGTCTGTTGGGGAAAGGAGCAGGGAGGTGAATGGAGAGAAGAGTATGGGCAAGTAAAAGAGTGAGACAGCATCTTTGGTGAAGTGACCTAGAGGTAGATGCAGCAGTTTTGTAGAAAAGTGTAGAACTTCGGGTAAATCTGTTAAGGCTTCATGATAACTAATTGGAGTGGGTTGGCTGACCTTAATCTCCCATGTATTGCCTTTATGAAAATCCCTCTAAACTGACATAGTGTACTAAAGCAGCATAATTTTTCTCCCTGGTCTTATTGTTGCCTCCAGCTGTGCATGGAAACACATGCACACGTAACCATGTGCCCGACTCCCATTTTCCACACTGCAGAACCTTTCTTTGTCTTGCTTTAGCTGTGTCTGTGTGTCACCTTCCCCCATGGATGTGACATTTGTGACTTTGCCTCACAAGCGTGCGGTTAAAGGGATGAAGTTGGTGATGATTAACCATGACACTGTGGAGGGTGAACCTCACTGAGGGGAGAGCATTCCAGCTGCCTTTCAAGGGGCACGGGATTCCTGAAGGCATTGGCAGCGTCTGGGCCAGTTTGCCAGTAACTGGAACCAGTTTATGTTTGCTGCTGCCTGGTTGCAAGAACATTCTCATTTTTATTCTTGCCACCCTCCAAAATGCACTCGGGTTGGTTTTAACTTACACAGCATAAGCATTTGATATTTGGAACATCTTCAAAGTCAGGTCATTGAGTGACTCTTCAGCAAGGTGACCCATTTCTCTAGCGTGTGGTTCAGACCTGCGTTACGTTTCTGTCATCGTTAGTGGGCACAGACCATAGGTCTAGGGCCAAAAGAGCTGTGAGAACTTACTGGGGGCCAGTGCTGAAGTGTGGCACGTGCAGTGGGACTGATGGACAGATAGGAAAAAAAAAAAAACTGTGAAGTGCTGCTAACTCTACTGAAAGATGGAGGAATTTGGGACTTTTTATTGAAAGCGTTTTGCTGGATTGGACTGAAGCCTGTGGAAGCAAGGGAGGGAGTCCGAGCGTTAAATCAGCGCCTCGCTCCAAAAACCGTCTCTGTCACGTGAGCAGAATGATCAGTGGGTCCCTTTTTCATCTGCGATGTGACTAATTCACCTTGTCTTCAGCTGCACACATGCACAGTTTCTCCTTGGTTGCTTGGAGGAGTGGCAGCAATTTAAAATGATTAGTGGAAAGAAGAATGTAGTATTCTTACGGGAGTGGGCTTGCTTAGTGGCAGCAGAAAGAGGCTTTGGGGAAAGAGCCGTTTTGCTAAGCCCGTAGGTATTTAGGAATTTGCATTGACTAATTAAAGTAAGGTCTGGGGTGACAAAAGCCTTTAGAAGGATTGCTTCCCAGGGCCCGGGTGGAAAAGAGGCAGAGGGAATGCAAGCTTTCAGGGAAAAGGTTTAACAAAACAATGTGAACAATTAGAGCTGCTTAGGAGTGGGAGGAGGTGAGGGGCTGAGGATAAAGAGATCCAGGGAGTAAATGGGGAAGTATCTCAGCCATTTAGTCTTTATGCTGTTCAACTTGCAGCTTTTGGGTGTATGTTGCCTGTAAGCAGAAAATCATAAGTCTTTGTGAAATGTTTGTGGCAAGAAGTTTGGTAAGCCCTGTGGGTTGGATATGGAAATGAATAAGAAAAGTGTCCACAGTTCAGCTAGTTAATGCTAAAAATAGCCATCAGCTCTTACGTTTAAAGCCTTAAGTGATCAGGAGGCCAGGTACAGCCTTGAACTGAGCAGATTTTAAGACTGTCACAATCCCCATCTGTTGCTACCTGAGTTGAGGTACTGGATGAGATAAGCTACTTTGTGGTCTTCTGTTCTCAATGCACAGTTAATCCTCAGGCTGATCTTAATTTTTTTTTTTTTTTTTTTTTTTTTAAAGCCCTCACAGGCTGATGGAACTAGGTAATGCCGAATCTAGTGACTAACCTCTGAATAACTGCTGCAGGCGTGACTTTCCAGGGGTGGAGGCTGCCCACAGCATCCAGCTGCAATGGGCATCACCGACTGCAGGAGCAGGACTTGAGCTTCTCCTGGGATCTGTGAAACAGGATCGCTTGCTGGGCTAGCGTCGGTGTCATTAGGGAGTCCTCTCAACAGAGTGGCCGACTGGAAAGTCTTGTTGGTGTCCAGGGCTGAGGTCAGCAGGCAGCATGGACCGAGGCAGTGGGAGTTGTGCCCAGTTGTGAAGTGGTTTCCATGGTCTTTGGCTGCTTTCCCCATGAGATCATGGTAATAGCTATTTAGATGCACAGCTCTACCCTAGCCTTTAATTTAGGGGAGTGGTGGTGGAGTATCTGCTTTTTGTCTGAGTGGTGGTACCTGCAGCATGTTAAAGGTTTGAGCATGTAATTCATACAAATAAATTTGTGATTATCAGCCTGATCGGAAGTCTTCTGGGATCTGTGTTATGTTCACAGTAGGTACAAAAGACCAGGGCTTGAGTTTGCCATGCAGTGTGAAATAAACACTGCAGCAAAGAGTCAAAGAGTTGCTTTATGCTTATTCCTACTAGGTCTGAATTCTCTATTTTGGAGAGGAGTGAAAAAGCGGAGATGTAAGGAATTAATTTTAAAATGTTATAGCTAGATCATCTTTTTTTTTCCCCAAGGCCCCTGCTGTAAGAAGCCTATTCTGCATCTTCTGAAGATGGACATTATTGTTATTAATAATGAATCAAAAATGGTTTGACTTAAAGCAAGCTGGATTTCTCATGCTTTTGTTATGACTTGCTGTAGACAGCTTCAAAGCTGCATGTGCTTCTGTCAGCAAAGAAATTTGCTGTTGCCGTCTCTCTCTCGTGACGGTTTGAAGCTTTGCAAGGACCTGGGTGAAGCGCAGCCCTCGGTTCTGTCGTGACCACAGGGGTCGCCTTCAAGGGAAATCAGACCCCTCTGCAGTGGGAGCTGCGTGCTCGTCATGAAAGCCCTTCTGCCCACTCGCTGAGAGAACGCAGCATTAATGCAGGCTTTCTCCTTTTTCCCTTTCATTACCTGGGCTGTATTTTTTGGTCCTGTGCTTGTGTTGTTTGGTGTGATTCACTTCTCCATAAATGCACCCTTTGTGTTGACATGTCCAATTTTCTCCTGTTGTGGTGCCTTCAGGTGATCAATGGTTCTGTATTAACTTAACAGGCCATCTTCTTGTCAGACTTGTTAAACAAATGGACCTCCCTTGTTCTGCGTTAGAACAGCCCTCATTTTTCCTTTGAGTGACTGCCCCAAAGACTGAAATCCAGGAGCAGAACATGTGTGTATCAGTAGTCTTCCTGTATTACACCATCACCGGTAGCTCAGTATTTATCTGGCTGAATGCTTGTGCTGACCTCAATTCAGTTATCTAAAAGGATGGTTTTCGGGCTGTCTGCCTGAATTGATGAGCCAAGAAATATGTCTAAATGAATTGGCACCATCTGGGCAGCCTGGCACAGAGTGGAGAGAGGTGGTAATGAGCTGCCATCAATTGGAGGAAGTCTCATGTCATTAAAATGACGGAGCAGTTAGCTTTCATTGGTGTTCCTTGCTTCACTGCTGACTCGGGCAAGCCCTGAGTCTCTCTGCTTTTGCAAGAGCTTCCATCTTACAGTAAAACATAACAGACAGGTGGTGGCTTCAGGGTGGTATGCCTGTCTTGGGACACAGGCAGATGTGCTGCTCTGGATGCTGCAGGTCCAGGTTGAGGTTGCTACCCAAAATGCATCCCAGCTGGTGAAGAGCAAAGCCCCCTGGCACAACTGCATATGTAGCTGTTCCCTGGCCCACTTCTGTCACAGCCATCTGGTTTAGCTGCCTTCCTATCATGCTTTTTGTTCCCCTTCCCCTTTTTATACAGTATTGTGTTAGAGGTGGAGCAGGGAGACGTGTCAGGTTGGTTGTGATGGCAAATTAGAAGGGACAGAAGCTTCTCATGTGAGCAGGGCAGCAAATTCATGTAGCTCTTCTGAAGTCAGGGAAATTTTACTCTGGCCCAGGATCTGGCCACTTCCAGCAGTAGCTGAGAATGAGGGTGTCTGTGCTGCTTGATAATGTTATTCAAAATGCAAATTAATATGAAGGCTCAGTGGACACATTAATTGCTCTTAAAATATTGAAACTGTCCTCAAATAGCAAGATACTGACTCCTCAGCTTCCCATCTGTGCTTTATGCAGTCTTTAGAATGACATTCCAGTTTATTGTGGAGGCTGGGAGAGGGAAGGAATGAAAAAAACAAAAACCCACAGAAGTGAGCGGATGTGTTACACAGGCTGTAACAGAGCGTTGCAGGTGGGGCCACGTGAGCTCTTGTGTCGTGCCCTGGGTGGGCAGGAGGGACCTTCTGCCACCATGCAGTGAGTGCAACAGAGCGGCTCCCACCCTGGCAGCCCCAGGTTGGTGCGCTCTGCCCAACCTGATGCGCTCTCTGTAGGTGCTCCTTGATGTGCCCTGGGGTTTTGACTTCGTGCTGGCTTTTGTCAAAGGGGGAATTTGAGACATTTCCAAGCATCTGTTAGGACTCTTTAGGGTAGAGAGAGAAGGCAGAGGAATTGGCTTGTTATTCTCTCTTTTGCAAGTCTGACCAATGTTGACTTGCTCCCCTAGCTGCCTTTTCCGTGTAGCAGAAAAGCCCCTGGGGGACAATGGCAGTAGCTCCTGTGTCCAGTACACAGATGTGACATAGATCTTGGGGCTGGAGCAGCGTCTGGGAAGAAGTCTGTCCCGCAGGATAGATGTGAGCTCTCTTAGCTCACTTCTGCCCCGCTGGAAACAAAATTTTCTTGGGACAGATAACTAGAATCTTCTAGATTTAGGGAGGTTTTGGGATCCTGTGAGGGGCTGGGATGTGCTGGAGAGACAAGCTGTAATGAGGCAAGTCCTTGCAAGGTGCAAGCAGTAACAGCACCCATGCTTGGCAATGATGCTGCTTGTGCAACAGTCAAGTGTGAGATGGTCTTTGCATTTCATCTGTAGGATGCTTGTGGATTTGTTCCACCAGCAACTTAAAATAACCACAGATGAGCTTTCAGAATTATCGTATTAATCTGAGACAAGTATCCAAAATGTCACGTATTTTTTCAGGACTGAGCCCTTCACTGTGCCCTGTTGACCTTTAGGTATGAGTTACCCCAGACGTAGCTGGCTGTTGTTAATGGATTAGTCCATCACCTAAAGTGTTGTTCTCCTTCTGGCCCTGACTGCCTCTTGGCCATCAACCCTAAGATCAATACTTCACTTCAGAGGGTGATAATCCCTTGTAGTGTGTGCCCAAAAGAAGTGCCTGACATTGGTAGAGCAGATCCCACGTGGTTGGGGTGGGGGTCTAGTGGGCAAGTCATGGCATGAAGAGAGGGTGGTAGGTTTCTGCTAGGCTGTGTGACAGAAGGTCTCAGCCTAGCAGAGACCAAACCCTACATTTGGGTGTCTCTGTTCATTGACAAGCTTGTAAGTAGTTTTTTCTTTCTTTTTTTTCCTTTCCATCTCCCTTGAGTAGTTTACCCATCCTCAGTTATGAAACTTATTGCTTGGCAATTCCAATTTATTCATGGTGAGAAATGCTTCCTCCTTTGAACTTTCAAAAGCCGCCTACATAATGGGAACACAGTTTCCACGCACTCTAGGCAGAAAGGAGAGTAATACTTTCAGCCTCTTTTGATCCTCAGTGTGAAGGGAGGCAGCATGGTTAATTTTGAAACACGAAGATCTCTTGAATAGGGCCTGTGGGATGCATCTGTAAAGCAAAATTTTTGCCTGTGGACTGTCAACGTATGAGCTTATATATCTTTGGAACTATTCTAGAAAAAAAATCCATCTGAAGTGGTGGCCATTGGGTCTGTGTAGCTTTAGAAACAGCAGCATAAAATCAGCCTTCTTTTTTTCTTTGAATTATTTAATTCCCCTTCCTCTCCCAGCTTCCCTATGCTAATGACTGCTTTCTGTCATGTCTCTATTAAAGTAGGGAATGCAAAATTGCAGGGCTGTTTGAGGGCTGCTTTACACAGAACAGCGTGTGGTTTTAAAACCACAAGCTGAGTGAGCAGCAGCTGGCGGTAGAAGCCCGGCTACGGCTCTGTAGCTGGAGCCAGGGTTTAAGACGTGGCTGGTAAAGCCTGTGCTGATGGCTGTTATGGGTAGAGGCAAAAGCAGCTAGAAAGCTGGAGCTTAGCCTCAGCCTTGTGTCTCTATCACCTCTAGATGAAAGAACAAAAGCTACTTTATTTGCTTCTCTTAAACAACTATAAAAACATAGTAATAGCTATACCACAGGTAAATTGAGGTGTATTCTTTTTACTTGTTGCATAAACAGCAGCAGCCCAAGGCACTGCCAAAACATAACCTTGTTTTGTGGGAGGCAAAATGAGAAGCAGTGGATCAGCTCCTTTGGGTACCAGTTGTTGCAATGAAGCCCTGATCTTTCAGTGAGCACTCTCTGAGCAGAGAAAATTATAAAAGTCTGGTTCTTCCAGGGGAAGCTTCTCCATGAGAAAAACCCCTGTCCTGCAGTGACTATGGAATGAACTTGGTTTACTTTAAGCTTTTGCAAGCAAAAGCTTACTACTTATTTATGAACGCGTAAGGAGATGGCTTTACCGTTTTCCCTAAATTTGTAACGATTCAGGAATTTCCTGTTGTGGGATGTGTGTCACTTAGTGGGAGTGGTGAATAGCTGGAAAAAATGCCTGCCCTCGCAACATCCGAGTGCATGGTGGGGCAAGAAGGGGCAGAGCTGAAGTCTTCCCGGTTAGGATCAGGACAAAAGCCTGATTTTTCACCTGAATTACAGGTCAGTTGCAGAGAATTTTGTGGTTGGCATTTTGCAGTCTGTCCTGCCAAAAATCTTCCACTCCCTGTGAATAGTGAGGCTAAAGAGGAAGAAAAGCCAGTGTTTGGGAAACGCAGCTATGAAAGACAGCAAAGGGAGGTTGAGTCAGCATCTTGCAGCACAATGTGAAAAAGAAAAAAGAGGGGAGAAAAGAAAAGCTTGAACATACTCATTATTATGTATAATAATTTGCTGCTGTTATAACTGCAATGTAACAGGTACACAACCTCATCTGGCCTTGCTGTTTTTCCTTTTTTGGCACGTGATTAACTTTTGTGAACCTGGTAAATTGATACTTTCTGTGTAAAAGTATTTGCTTATCCTCTTCCTAGAGACCAATACTTATCGCACCCCTCTTTATGGGCAGCCCTCTTGGTGGGGGGAAGATGATGCCAATAACAAGGAGGACAGAAGGCAGGAGGACCATTACTCAGGTAATGGAGGTGATTTGGGGTGGGAGAAGATGGGGACACACACAAAAAATTTCAGTACATTTTTGATATTCTACTATGTGAAGCCTTTAATTATCGCTTTTTTTTTGTACTTGTATATGCACATTCCTACGTGTAGATTGCTGCCAGTGAAACCAGAATAAGGGAAAACTAAAATGTTTCCCCTAAAATATTTGCATGTTTGAAATGGTGGTTCAGTATGTACGAGAAAGGCCTCACAAAGCTCATTTGAGACCTAGTTAAACAGCAGCACTGTATCTGTGATCGTATGCAGCCCACCTGCATAAACCATCCACTGTCTCTCCCAGGAGTTTCCTGTCTAAGAGGCACTTTAAGAGCTGATGCATTGACTGGATTTGATTGATGTGGCAGCAATCTGTTTCTCACCTCTTCATCCTTGGAAGCCATTTAGTCTTACCACTCCTGTTGTTGTGAATCTGTATGCATGGAAGATGCATCTTTTTTCACTTGTGCAGTAAACCTGATGTTTCTATCAAGCATGTGCTTTACTGCACAAAGAAGTTTTTTATTTCGATGCACGTGCAGTCTGTCTCTTCTCTAGCAGAGAGGGGTTGTGATCAGCAGCCCTTCTAAGAGGTTGAAATAAAGGAAGTGATCCTCTAGCCAAGAAGTTTGGGCACTACTGAAAAAATGTGGATTTATCCCTGGTAATGTTACAGAATTAGGTGTTGATCCAGCAAAAACATAGCTGTGATTAGCTTTGCACACTCAAGCTTTTCCTTTGGACTGTAAAAGGTTGAGTAGGTGTGCATGTGTGCGTGTAAGTGAATTCAGGAAAGTGAAATAGGATATCTTCCTTCCACATCAGCCCAGGCATACAGAAACCTTAAAATGCCACCAGCCACGTGGGTTCTGCCAAAACATACAGTGGTGCATGCGTGTGTGCTCAGCCCTCTCTTTGGGGAGCAATGAAAGAAAGGTCAAAGTGAATATAACAAATGTTGGTCAGACCTCAGCAGTGCAGTAAGCACCGATTTCAGTGATGAGGCCAGAGTACAAAGCTATCTAAAATAGAACTTGTGTTTTTTCTTTAATCCTTTTCAGCTCATGTTTGTGAATGTAAGGTTTTCTTGCCTTTTTTTTTTTTTTTTCCCTTTTGTAGAAAGATCAAAAGAGATAACCCAACATGAAGAGGAACTGAATGGTAATATTTCTGCTTATAGAGATACCCAAGAACAATCTGTGTTTGCCTTCCGGAGAGAGCCAAGTTACTTTGAGATTCCAACTAAAGAATTTCAGCAGCCATCAAAATCTCCAGAAACACAGGTCCATGAGATCCCAACAAAGGATGTCGATGCTGTAGTAGCCCCTGTTGTACAGAGTCATGCCTCTTTCACCATTGAATTTGATGACGGTACCCCTGGTAAAATAAAGATAAAAGACCATGTAACAAAATTTTCGCTCAGACAGAGAAGACCCTATAGTAAGGATCCAGCTCATACAGAAGTGATGTCAGCAGAGAGCAAAGTGGCTGACTGGCTTGTCCAGAATGACCCAAGCTTAATGAGACGGCAGTCTCCAGGAGATGATGTGTACAGTACAAAGAGTGACCTGCCGGTTCATGTGAGGACACTTAAAGGTGAGTGAATGTCTTGTCATGTGGACATAGTTCTCTGTTGGCCGCGCAAATACAAGCTTAATAAAGGGAGAAAACCCTTCTCCTGTTAAGGAGAACCGGACTTAATTATCTTTACTCCAAATTTTCAAGATGAAGAATGTTTCTTTAATGACTGTTAATGGTTTTGAATCCAGCTAGCAGGCTCTTCACCTGGCCCTGAAGTCATGTGTGATGCTGGCCTGGCTCTAATCTGGTTCCTCTACATCTGTAACATCAGCTCAGCAGTAGCAGTGATTGAAAAAAGGATTTTGATTTTTAAATCTCTAAAATACTTTCCATGTGGTCAGGCAGGCTGGTAAACACAGGGATTTCTGGTGATTTTCTTCTCTTGGCTTCTCCTAGCTGAAGGAATGACTTTTTAGCTATAGTCTAGAAGAGGCTAAGAGTGATCAACCTGATGGCCGTAATGAGTAGAGCCACTTGGTTGGATGACCAAAGGTCCTGACACAGAGACTGGTGATAGAATTGATACATGCATGATTGCCAATGGAGGAAATTGTTGTGCTTGTAGAAGAAGGTTGCTTCTCTTAAACTAAAGCTTCTCTGAAATCCTGCTCTGTTCAAAAACTTCAGGCTTAGTGGACCTGTGTCCTTTTAAGTGTATCACTCTGAGGAATTCTTTGGGGATTTTCAAAATCTAAACTGTAGTTTGAGCCCAGTTCTTAGTGCAGCTGGTGGGACTCACATGATTCTCATGCAACTTTGATTATATTTAGCAAGATTTGGGCTTGCTTGGACGTATCTCTTGGGCTGTGCACTGAACAGCTAGGAGGAGACCACTGATTCTTGCATTCTCACTGCCTTGCAGGCCTCTGGAAAAGCTATTGTTTTGAACTGCAACTTTAACTGATGAAGTTATATTGAAAGTTACTGGACCTACTTGTGCTTAAGGTCCTTCTTAAATGAGAGCAATACCTTGTTATGCCTTAAAGGAGTATTTGCTTGGTCCTTGTTGGAAAAAACCTCCTTGTAATATGAAAAGTTTTACCTATTATACCTCCAACTTGCTGTTTTGTGTACAGTTTTTTGAGAAGCCCCTACGGTCAAAAAGGTCTCACATATCCAGCCCTGGGGTTTGGCATGGCATGGAAATTGAACTGTTCTGTTGTCATTGCTTGTTTCTAGTTCTTCCCAATAAGGGACAGTGTTGAGGTGCCCTGCCTGATTATTTAGAGTCTTACTTTCAGTCTACTGCGACTGTGTGATAAAGGGGTTTGAGCTTTGGGTTGGTTGTTTTGGTTTTTTTTTTTTATTGTGATATTGGATTTTGTAGATTTGCTGGAGAACATTGTCAGGCATAGAACTGTGCTTCAGTAGTTTTGCTCTTTCCTCCTGGAGAAAACGAGAGGGTTAGGCAGCTGCTGCTCATCCTGGATTTTCCTGAACGTTGCACAGGAATACTAGACTGACTGCACTTGCCTCTTTACAGTCCATAAGGCATGGAAAGAAGCTGAGGCAATTTAATGCATAATTTGCATATCAAGAAATCAACTCTTTGGACATTTGATTAAAACATACAGTGTTGGTGGCCTGAGGAGTTTATCCACCTCTGCTTTGGCAGGGGACAGGGTGTCATTTATCTGCGATAGCTGTGTAACGTGTTCTTCTGGCAGGGGTAATTTTGAAGATGTCTTGGAGGCTACTGCTGGCTGCCTACCAGGTTTGGGTCTTCAGGATCAGAGATGCCCACCGTCGGGGTTCATTAGTAACATCTGTTCATTTTCAGGAAGAACGTGGTGAATGTAAAGCCTGGTATCAAGACTGGAGAATTCAGATCTTAGCAGCTTGAGGGGCTGTTCATGGTGTTCTGCTGGGGCATCCATGGGCACAGTGGGTGTTTTTTCCTTGCGCCCTCACCGTTTTGCATTCAGCAGAATTCTTAAACAAGACCCTTTAATTTAAGAACTTTCCCTTCCAAGAACGAAGCTTATCAGCCCTCAGGGTACAATGCAAAGTTTGCTGGCTTCCTTAATGAGGGTGTTAGGAAACTCTTCAGAGGACTGACTCCTGGGTTGAATGGATCTTGTATTAAATTTTAATCTTTCACAGCTAACTCGAGGTAATAAATGGTCTTCACCCATGTGTCTGGAGAACTTGCAAAGTAGGTTTGGGCAGTTTTCCTTTCAAACACGTGGTATTTTAGCCAGTATATCTTGCTGCATATTACAGTCTAGAGCGCAGAGACCTCTTTCCCCATTCTCCCGATGACAGGTTCCTGGTCGTTGACTGAATCGTGTTGTGTGCCTTCATACCCGTTTCCTTCTCCAAAAAAAGGTTTGTTTTTTGTTTTACTTTTAACTCTTTCTTTTACTTTAACTTGCTTTCTGATCTCCTGATCTAAGGTGCTGAGGGGCAGGCATCATTGATACATAGGGAAGGTTGTATAGATAGTTGTTGCTAACATAAGTGAAAATAATTACAAACTTACTTTAAGCTTAGTGAACTCTAAGTAATGATTTAACCTTTGCTTGACTGGTGATAGGATGGTGTAACTCCTGGGGGTGTCATGGTGTGATTCTTAAATCTTCAGGAAAAGTAAAGAATCCTGCAGATTTGCTTTTCTGTTAGCCTCTGGTTTATTTCCCTCTTGTAGAGGAGGGGAACGTGGGTGCTCAGAGGTGCATGCACTCAAAACACACTGATCTGGTCTTTCATCGTGGGGATTTGGTTTCATGGGATGCAGTGTGCAGGGTTTATTTACTGATCCTGCAAGAGAGATTTCTGCTCTGTAACAGAGAGAACCTAATGAGGTGATCTTGGACTACAGTAATGGGCAGAACGGCAAAATAATGTCATAATTTTTATTTAAATGGGAAAAAAAGAAAGAAACAAAATATTGGGTATCTAAAACAATCAGCGTTACAAAATCAGAAACCCTTGGGGTTGAAATGATTTCTTGAACTGTTTTTTAATAACTTGATAGCCAACCAGTTGTGAAAAGCGGGGTCAGGAGACAGTTGCCTTCTCTTTTATTTGCTCTGATGGGATGCAATCCCTGTACCACAGCAGATGTCTCTGGAGTTATTTAATCCTATAGGATTTTTTTCTTTTAACTGAAATGATAAATTTCAACCGGGAGGTAATAACAGGGCCACAGCAACTAAGAATATGAAAGTCAAATCTACATACCTTGTTTCCAGGCAATAGGCACGAGGACGGGACGCAGAGTGACTCTGAAGACCCCGTGGCGCCCAAGGCAGAGAAGGAGACGACGACGGGCAGCGAACGTGCGACGGAGCAAACCAGGCTGCAGCGCCAGATGAGGCGTGATCCCCACGAGATGCTGCACAACAAGCAGGCCTTCGTCATTGAGTTCTTCGAGGACACGCCGCGGAAGAAGCGGTCACAGTCCTTTACACACAGCGCTCACTCCTCCCAGAGCGACACCGATCCAGGGCTGAAGACCAAGGTTGAAAAGCGCAAGAGTGTGTTGCCGGCAGAGAAGCTGGGAAATGCAGCCCCACCATCCCACCTCGGGGCCCAGGCAGGCAAACCCACTAACAGCTCCTCTGGGACCCAAAGAACTAGCTCCTTCAAGAGGGAGAAAACGGAGGATCGGATCAGCTCTTCGTCTTCCTCTGCTTCCAGAACATCAGCCAAAACTTATGGGAGCATTGGGAGGAAGTCTAAAATGGCTCAGGATTTCATGGCCGAGTACTTACGGGAGACTGCTCAGTCTGGGAAGCCGAGCACTGAGAAACCAGCACCCATGCCTGTGCCGGTAGCTCCACGCGTGGTTATATCGTCAGAACCAGAGCCTGCCTCTGCTCCGCCTCCAGAGGTAAAGTCTGCCCAGGGCAGGAGGAATGATGAGGAAGACAGTGTAAGCGAGACAGGCACATACACCATTGAGACGGAGTCACAGGATAAAGAGGTGGAGGAAGCACGAAAAATGATAGATCAGGTAAATGCTGCTTTTCTGTGCTTGGCCAGTGAGCTGAGGGTGGAAGGTTGAGGCTTCTGCACCTTGTGCTGGAGGACCTAACTTCATTAGCTGCTGCCGTGAAGGACTGCTCCCTTTTGAATTGTGTGCAGTGCGGATTTATGGTTAGGAGTGGGAAATCTTCCTGGGTGACCTGTGTTAAGGATAAGCCCCAACAAACTATGAGGCTGATCTTTAAAAAAACCCCAACAAAACAAAATTACAAACAAAAAACCCGCATTGTGCAAGAAGGCAAGGTAAGCCCACAGCAAAGAGCTGCCTTGCTTCCAAAATGGGATTTGGATGCAGAAGTGCAAGAGTAGGCTTGCTATCTGTTTCAAGGAAAGGCAACAACAGAATAAAAAGATCAGGCTGATCCTGCCAAGAGCCATGGCTGGATGCAGCTCTGCTGTCTTGGACTGCTCCCAAGCCTCTGCCTTGGCGTTGTATCACCTCCTGCCCACTGTTAAGAAGATGGGAAGTGCAGCCCATCATTGGTGCAGCATCCCGTGATAGGCCAAAGGAAGTGCAGGCTGAGGGCTGGTGCTGTTGATCCTTCACAAGCCTTAGTGGTAGGTGGTTCTGTATTTGGCTGTGCCTGGTTACAAAGGGAGTGCTTGCTGGCTGGGCAAGCGGCAGCTAGTTGAGATAGCGAAGGGTGTGGTCTAGGGCAGAGGCACTCCTAGAGGGATCTATACTTGTTTGGATTTTGCAAAGTGAGTGATAGCCTGAAAACAAAACCACAGAGATGAGGGAGAGGCTTTAAAAAACCCACCCAACCAAGCAACCGCAGGGCAAACCAAAGTTTGGCTGATTTTCAGGTTTAACTTTCATCTGCGGTCTATTATGAAAACAAAGCTGGCAAGTTGCTGTGAAAATTTAGTGAAGTGTAGGCAAGAGGATGGCAAGGTTTAAAGGAAGTCTTAATTGAACCTGGCTTTAGAGCTTCGTATGCAGTGTTCTGTGAGCCTGGATCTAGCTTCCCTCGTTTGTTTCTTTATTGTATTTGTTCCTTACATCTTGTTTGAAATGTGATCGGAAGCTTTCAGGGCAGGGTATTTAAGCCACAGCAAGGCCCTAGTCCTGACATTAGATGGTTAATTTTTCTGGTGGGGAAATATGAGGAGAAATGCCACAAAAATACATTTATTTCTTGGGGAGTAGTCTTTGCCTGCCCGAGCCACACAGCTGCCATCTGGCCAAATTCTGCTCCTGACTCTGCTGTAAGATTTGGTGCAGTGCAGATCTGCCACTTGGGAAACAATTAATACCTGGACCTCAGCGTTTCTGTCCAGGAAGAAAGATGATACAAATTCTAGACTCGCTGAGATTTTGAGGTGACTCTGCTTTTTATTCCCCTACCATTGCGCACACACTTTTTTTTAATAGACGTGAGAGTGCAGAGCTTTATGGCTGTCTCTGCCCAGCCTGGGTACCATCCATGGTGGCATCTTCCTCTGAGCTACTTCGAGTCAGGAAAGAAAAACAAGCCCTTCAGAGGCATGGATCTTGGTCACCCCCCTAGGACAGCCTGTCTGTCTCCAGAGGGAATCTGGCCAGCTAATTCAAACACTTGCTTATCTCTGAGGACCTTTCCCAGGTCCTCATGTAGCAGCGCAAGGCTGCTTTGCTCAGCCCACTCTCTGCTATAGTCTATGAAAGAACCTGGAGATGGAGCTTTCCCAGTTTTTTCTAATTCTCTGTGAATTAGCTGGTAAATAACTTCCTGACACTCATCCTAAATTTCTCAAGGCTGAAAAGGGACTCCTTCTCAGTGAAAGTTACTACTGTTAAAGGCAACACACTGAAATAATGAGGGTGAGAGAAAAGGTGGGTGTGAGTGGGATTCCATGAATAAGTGTATTTAAAGCTGCTACTGTGGAGTAGAGAAGAAAACTATTTACTTTGTATGGAAGCACTGGCAAGTGTTTTCTGGTCCTTTGGGATCATAGTTTTTGTGTGACTAATGCTTCATGGATTTGGATTTTGGGCTAATATTTTCCTGTTTTCTTGGGTTTTTTAATCTTTCCCATGCAAACACCTTTTCAGGTTTTTGGTGTTCTTGAGTCGCCTGAATTTTCCAGAATCTCTTCAGCCTTTAGACCAGTAATTAAAGGTGAAAAAGACGACTCCAGCTCTCATCAGCATCTAATCAGTGAAAATGGCACTAGTCAGAAGTCACCCTTGCTCCAGGCATTTGCCTCAAAAGCTGTGAGTGGGTCTCAGGCTGATGCGCAGGTACGGGCAGTCCAGGTGGATTTGCTGGGATGGTGGAGGTGTAGATGGGTTTTCTTTCTGGATGGAAATGTGATGCGTAGATTGATTTCCATTTTGAGGAGACTGAGTGATGTGTGTATGAGAGGAGAGGTTTTATGGTTAGGATTTATGGTTTACAAACCCTCTTTCTGACAAGCCTTCCCCACCTTGTTGTAGATGTCTGCAGCATCTCAAGGGAGTCAAAAGTGGGTGTCTAGGTGGGCGAGCCTTGCGGACAGTTACTCTGACTCTGGATCTGCCCCCGGGCAGGGTGATGGAGCTGCAGGTAAGTCTCATCCTGACATTACTTTTTGAAAGTGGCTGAATCTAAGCCAGGATAATACGAAAAGCAGGAATTAAGGGCTTCTGTGCATCTGTCTGTGGCTTATTTTCTAGTTTAGCTAACGTATTTGGGGGTGGGAAGGACAGAGTGAATCGTTCCTAGTGGAGTAAAGATGGAGAGCACCTCTGGTTTGCATTTCAGAGTCATCCAAGAAGCTCTTAAATGTTACATTTGACATGACTAAGGGGCATCTGGGAAGGACAAAGCTTGTAAGGGCTTTCGGTGTTAACTAGCCCCTAGCAGTGATTCTTTCGACTGCCTTATGATGGCAGATGAAAGCCCTTTGCAAGTTGCCTAGGACTTCGTTGCTGACTTGTGCTTTTTTTGTGTACTTCTCCTGTGTCTGGCTGTGCTGAGAATTTTAGGCTGTTCTGGGATTTGCTGTCGGGGTTGCAGGTTTGGGAGGTCAGCATAGAAAACTGAGTAGGAGGGGAGAAGGGGATCAGGGGGAGACCAGGCTCCCATCGTAACTGGAAAGACAGCTTACAGACCCCATGGTCCTGTTGGTATGTGAGAAAGGGAGAAGAACGCTTTGTTGGCTTTTGTAAACATTTTCAACTTTTTTGGTTGGAAATATTTGTCATTATCTTCATGCCATCAACAGCTATGGATAGATTCAGTAAAGATTAGAAGAAACCTTTGTTTCGGAGGTCATTGCCACTGTTACCACACTGTGTGAGAATCTGACTCCCAGTGTGTTTGAAATATTACCATAGTGAAATAACCAGTTATCCAGGTATTTAAAGGTGGTATCAGATATGAAGTCCTGGCCAGCAGCATGGGAAAAATAAAAGCACCCTTTCTATGAAGCGTGCCCATACTGATAAGCCCACCCTATTGGTATTCATATTACATAAAAGCTTAGTTCTAAGCATGTGTCTTGTGAGTACTTTTGTGGATTTGCACTTTGCAGGATCAAGCTCTTCCTAAATAAATAAGAGGTATAGTTGTACAACAGTTGATTCTTGTCCACTTACCTCTCTTCAGAAAGCAGTGTAGCCCCAAAACCTGGTGAACCAGAAAACGCTGTGCCCTTTAGAACAAGGCGCCTTCTTCCCCAACTCCCACCAAGTGATAAATCAGACAGCCCCACGCCCACGGTCCTGGTCTGCCAGGAGTCCTATTCTGAGGTTACCAAGAGAACCATCATGAAGGACCACTGTGTGGAAGCCTACGGCGATCCCAGCAGCCGCCTCTTCATCCAAGAAGACTTGGATCCAGACAGCCTCAGTGATGCCAGCAGATCTGACGATGGCTTCAGCATGGAAAAAGGCAAGAAATACAAAGAGAACAATAAAATGCTAGAGCAGATGGGGGAAGAAACAAAATCAGAGAGCCGGCAGCCAGGAGCCTCCCGGGTTTCAAATGTGAGAGCTGTAAGTGAGCCAGTTTCTACTTCATTTTACATTGGTGATGACAGCAACGATGGGGGGATTCCCTCGAAGCTCTCTCTGAGAGTGTCCCATGCTCGAGCAGACAAAGATGGCAAGGATCAGGAGTTTTCCTTCAAGGCTGCTGCCACACCAGTTCTTGGAAAGCCACCAGTCAAGGATGTAAGCGCTTACATTAATGCAGCAGGAAAAGTGGTTATTTCCCTTCACCAGAATCTTCCTCAAGATCAGGAAAATGTGGCAGGAAAGGAAACATCATCTTTTGTTAGACAGGAAAGTTTTACCAAAGATAAATCAAGCAGTGGTGGGCGATCCCAGCAGCCGCCTCTTCATCCAAGAAGACTTGGATCCAGACAGCCTCAGTGATGCCAGCAGATCTGACGATGGCTTCAGCATGGAAAAAGGCAAGAAATACAAAGAGAACAATAAAATGCTAGAGCAGATGGGGGAAGAAACAAAATCAGAGAGCCGGCAGCCAGGAGCCTCCCGGGTTTCAAATGTGAGAGCTGTAAGTGAGCCAGTTTCTACTTCATTTTACATTGGTGATGACAGCAACGATGGGGGGATTCCCTCGAAGCTCTCTCTGAGAGTGTCCCATGCTCGAGCAGACAAAGATGGCAAGGATCAGGAGTTTTCCTTCAAGGCTGCTGCCACACCAGTTCTTGGAAAGCCACCAGTCAAGGATGTAAGCGCTTACATTAATGCAGCAGGAAAAGTGGTTATTTCCCTTCACCAGAATCTTCCTCAAGATCAGGAAAATGTGGCAGGAAAGGAAACATCATCTTTTGTTAGACAGGAAAGTTTTACCAAAGATAAATCAAGCAGTGGTGTTCCTCAAAATAAACTCCCGCATATTTCAAGTCACCCTCTGCTTAAAGATTTAGAGGCTGTTCGGTCAACCCGTATGGACTTTGGTCAGGAGACTCATCTTCTCCTTAAGGACACTGAAACTGCCTTGGCAGCGCTGGAAGCCAAATTACTGAGTCAAAGCCAACAGCTGGAGCCCTCAGAAACTGCTGGTCAGCTGGAGGACTCCTTGTCAGGGGACTCTGATGTGGACACCGCCAGCACAGTCAGCTTGGTGAGCGGCAAGAATGTCCCAGTGAGTGCCCCAAAACGCAAAGCAGTCGCGAGTTTGCAGAAGGAGAAATCTTCCTCCACGCCGTCCATCCAGGACCAGTGTGGGCAGCCCAGTGCTCGGGACAGGCTGACGGAGAAGCGGAAAACGCAAGTGCCAGAGGCGTCAAACCGCACGGAGGCCACCAAACGCTTCCAGATGAAGCGGAGTGCTGGGGCTCGAGGATCGCTCGACTTCACAGATGATGAGAGAAGCTCGAGCCTGCCCTACTCGCCGGTCCCTGACGCGGTCGTGTCTGACCACGAGCACTCGGTAACCCGGCCAGTCCCCAGAAGGAAACCCTTTACTCAGGCCGCCAAGGAGGACCACAGCAAAACGACCTCGAATGTGCAGAAAATCCAGCAAGTTCTTACCCGCTCCAACAGTTTATCCACCCCGCGGCCCACGAGGGCCTCAAAGCTACGTCGTGCCCGGCTGGGAGATGCTTCGGACAATGAATGTGTTGATACTGAGAAAACGGCCTCCAACCCTGAAGCCACAGCTCAGGGCCCCAAGCAATCCACAGAGACGAAGAAGCTCTCCCGGCTGGACATCCTTGCCATGCCGAGGAAACGGGCAGGTTCATTTACGGTGCCCAGTGACTCCGAGACTGCGCAGTCGAAGTCGGGGTTTTCAGGTCGGGGTGTGGAGTCCTATCGGAAGACAGGAGTTGCGGAGGTTAGAGCTGCGGCAAGGAAAACAGCAGCCGCTGCCTCTGCGAAGCAGCCTTTCCGCAGGTCCCGTTCAAGCAGTGTCAAGTATTCCTCCTCATCCAGTAAGTGCTTGTGCTTTATGTCTCTTCTCTATTGCCCTCTTTCTGATCTATAGGCTGCACATGGTTGCCAAGGATTGGTATCTCAGTAACACGAGTGCTGTGTTGGTGAGTACAGAAGTCTGCATTAATGAGAGGTATGGAGATTGCAATTTCTGTGGGTTTAGAGACAACAGAGCATCTCTCATACCCAGTGAGATGATATTGTGGCATTGTCTGTGAAGATACTGCAGATAGCTTCCCCCTCCCAGTGACTCCGTTTTTTGAACAACCAGTTGCCATTTGACAGAAGCATGTTGACCATTTTTTCTGTTAAAAAGGTAGAATTTAATGCCTTTCCAGTGCTACAAGGAATTCTGTTCAGTTTTTCTTTGACTTCCAAGATTCAATTTGTTCCCAGAGAGCTTATAATGGTGTTGATGACAGCTGATGTCCAAGGTGGCAGGTTTGAAGGCATCTGAAACAGGACAACAAGAAGGAAAGGTCCCTGTGTTGTGAAAGCTGTTCCCTTGTTCTTCCTGTAAATGCAAATGTGGAGCTGGACACCACACATTGATTGCCCCAAAGGATTCCTGCTACTGTGTATTTTCATTCACTTCTGCCATAGGTGAGGCAGGTGCACAGTCGTGTTTCCCACGAGGGAGAGGTTTGGGGGCTATCTTGCCCTGCAGCTGTGCACTCAGGAGACCCTTGCAATATTGACATTTGTTACATTGAAATCAGCCTTCAATTAAGAGGTGGGGACAATGCAGATGGCAACTCTAAGATGGTGATTGGTAATCAGAGATTGTCCCCAACACCTTTGGTGTAAGTCCTGGTCTATGCCTGTAGTCCTTGACCTACCATGGATGTGGCAAAGCAGATCTGTTTGCTTAGGTTTTTAGGAATGATGGAGGGGTGAAGGGACAGGAGGATCCCCTTTGGCTGGGCTTCTCAGGCCTGTTGAGAGGGATGCTATTTTCAGCAGATCTGTGTTTTTGTAAGGGGTCTTAGTTCTGAATGTGTCCTTTTCCTATATTTTCATGCACCTGAAATAATTGTCCTTCCTGCAGTATTCATTTTTATTGCATGCTAAAAATGTTATTTGCTGCTTGTTTTGATTTGAATTGGTTTAGTGCATCCAGCTTTCCTTTGATTTTAATGATTTTTTTTCTTACACGTGTATATGCATGTAAATCAGAAGGTGAATAAGCTAAAAGAGTACGTACAATCTCTCCTCTCGCCTTTTTTGAGATGATGCTATTATTGACTTCTTGTTAAACAATAACAAATTAAAAGCAAAATAATGTGGTCAGAGTTTTCCGAACAGGAAGCACTCTCTGCACTCCCTCTGCCTATGGACCACAGACTTCAAATCATTTGGAGAAAAATGATAAGTGTTGGCCAGTTCTTGGTTTAAATGAATTGGTTTTTGATTTCCAGAGCTCTGTAGCTGCATGCTAACACCTTTTGTTGTGCGTAGTTGCAGCAGATGATGCTAATCCTTCCTCTGAATTAGTTGCTCCTAAAATACTAACCTCCTAATTCCGTGATAGGATTGTGGACCTTGCATGAGCTCTAAGTGTACTAGTGTACTTCATGCTTCATCGTGCTGTACCAAGTGTGTGATGCATGTTCCTATACTAATGCTACTATAGATATAGTCAATCAACACCTAGCACCCCGTTCCTGGAACAAAAGTGAAACACTGATAAACTGAACTCTTGCACTGTGCCATCAAGAGATTTTTTTTTTAGCATGATACAATAACCGTTGAAAGCATTGAGCATCAAGCCTTGGGAGTGAGCAGGTAGATGTGGCTGATTTATTTCAGGATTTCTTAAAGCAGTTAGCTAACCCCAATAGTTTCCAAATCTCCGAGTGGGAGAAAGTTAATCTTGCTAATGGAGGAAAAATGAACTATCTGACCACGAGACAAGAAATGCCAGTAGATTGTTGGGCCTTCTGAAGTAACTTCATGTGAAACACATAGATAACATCAGAATAATTCAAGTTACCGGTTCTGAAGCTAAGGGCCTGTCTCTGATTTACCTTGGCAAACAGGGATGGAAAATCAGGCTCTTCGTTTTAAAATTGTTCAATGACAGGGTGACCTCTTGATTCTAAACCTGTGTTTAAAAAACAATATACGTCTCTACTGTTGGAATATGAGCAACTTTATTTTTTTCCTGTAAGCCAAGATGTTTATATAGCTACAGCTGAGATAGCGACGTCTAGGAATGTTTTTTTTCACTATACAGTAACTATCTGTAGTTTCTACCTGAATCTTATATGCCAAATTAGTTTTGTTTTTTTTTTTTTTTTTGTATGATCTATGTTACTAGCTTAATTTGCTTACAGTGGTTCAGTGTTATGATAATCTTGATAACACAGTGAAGCTTTTAGGTGTTGTGATATGAAATAACTCTGCTGGTTCTGTGTTTGGTGGGTCTTCATTCTCCAGGGAAGGATGGAAGGGAATGAAGTGGTATCTGTAGAGAGTGTAGTGAGGCAGCGAACACAAGGAGCCCAGTTTTCAAATAAGGACATACCGATGCTTCCCATGCAAGCAGGACCTGGGTGTCTACATATCTGCAGAACCGGTTGGGATAAGTGGGCAGCTTCCACTTGGCTCCAGGGGTTGAAGCCACTCCTGACTGTGTGAATGCTCTTTCTCGTAAAGTGTCATTAATGGTGAATTGCGAAGCAGGGGGTGAACATGGGGGTGTGGACTTTTGGAAATAACACCAAGCACTGTCATCTGTTCTTCACTCAAAAAACCCTCCTTCTGCTTGTACTTGCGACTACTTGGAAAGGTGTCTGCAGGCTTGAAAACTGGGCTCTCTTTAGAAGGGGACTTCTGTGGGACTGTGAGGAGTCTGAAACGTGTGCTACTTACATACAGAGCTTCTGTGCATGGAAAGCCAAGTCTGTGGTAATAATTTACTGCATTGGAGTTGTTAACACAGCCATTTTGCTTTTCCATTGGAATTTCCCACTCCAAATTTGTATAGTGAATGGGAGCCACAGAAGTGCTCAACTTTGGAATAAGCTCTGAGAGTGTGTTGTTTAGCTTAAAATCTGCACAGAAGCTCTCCTTTCCTTGTGCTCTTGGGCTAGTTTTGTGTTACCTTTTTGCCCTTTTGTAGTTATTCTTCACTACTTTCCACGATCTGAAACCAATTCATTTTTTATAAGCATCAAGGCGGAGACCACAGGGTTCAGATTACACTTCTACTTCGGAGGAAGAGTATGGCTCAAATCACAGCTCCCCTAAACACAAACGCTCCCATACTTCAACAGCCACACAAACACCGAGGATACGTGGCTCTGGGCTGAGCAAGCAGAAGCACAATGGCAGAGAAACGGATGATGATGAAGATTTTGATGATCACCCTGACCCCTACAACTTCATGGCACAAACAGCAGAGATAGCAGAAATAGCCAGGTGAGGTGGGGCCTTATGTATTGACCCACACGTTGAAAATGGATTGAGTTTTCCTTGGTGTTCAAATCAAACCCCGGTGCGGAGGTAGAAAGAGAGGCACTCTCTCCTGTTCTTTGTGTGCCCTCCCTCTCCTTTGTATCTACACATAGGCTTGTTCAGACTTGGAAGGTTTTGATGAAGCTTTGCAGCCTGTGCTAAGCTGTGCTGGCTGTACCTTATCTCTAGAAAATGCCAAGGTGCAGGGCACTGTGTCTTCAGTTTGTGGACAGGTCTCCTCTTTGTAGCTCTGTCAAAAGAGGTAACTGTCTATACCTGCTTATCTCTGCTTTCTGCTGGAAGTCCCTGTGTGTGCATGGACCTGTTGATGTGAACTGTCCTCTAATTCTCTGCAGAGGAAGTCAAAAGGATTAGCAAGACTGAATATGTAAACTGTTGAAGCTGTTTTGCCTGAAGCCGGTGAGGGAGCAGTTAAGCAGTTGCTGCGGGGCAGAAATCTTGTTGCTTGGCACAATTGAATCCAAACAAGAAAATCTGTCTGGGCCCAGTGTATTAAACGAGTCGTTGCTTAGCTTGATGTCCTGGGATACATGACCTATTGTATACTGGTGGTCTGATGGTTGCCTAGAGGACCTCAGCAGTAAAGCAAATAGATGCTTTTAGATTCCTTTTTGGAACGGTGGTGTTTGAGATTTGACATCTCTAATATGCAACTGTATTATGCCAACTTTCCAGAAATACTGGTCTTCCATTGTACTGGCCATACTTGAAATACTTTTGACGGAGGAAGCTGTCTTCTGTCTGCCTTTGGTCAGCACTTCCACGTCACTCGTACCACTTGCCGCACTGATCTCGAAAGGGCTTTTCTTCTTCTGTCAGGCTGCTAGAAAGCGTGTCGGCCTTCAGACCAGGCTGCGTTACCTGTGCCGCACGATGCGTGCGTGTGGGAGACGCTGCCTTCCCTCCTAGCAGCGTTCCTAGCGCGGGAGAGCGCTTTGGGTTGCAGCAGCTATAAATAAACGGTTGCGTCAGACGTGTCTGGCGCTGCACGTTGCAGGGCTCGGTCACAGAGTCTGCTTCGTAATTGCAGGCGGTTCTGATTTCCGTTGCTGCTCCCAAATTAACTGGGAGGGGTTTAGAGGAGTCAGAGAGAGTTAAAAGGGAAAATGCCACTTGTTTACAGTAAGTGAATCACATAATGGATGCGTTGGGTGACAGCACTATCCAAACTAGCGCGGGTAGGGGGCATCTCAGGCAGGCAGATCAAACTGCTTTTTCTTAGCTCAATTATGCATTTTCTTTCCGAGTAAATGTTTTGATGAACTGACAGTTTTATTACATTGCTTCGTTTTTTGAATTAAAGAAGAAAGCGTCTTTCGGCTGAAGCTAGCTAGCTGGAAGATTATCTTTTTTTCTCTTAGAAGCGGTTCTTTAGAATTATCACATCAGCTACTTTCAGTCTGAAGGGTTTTTTTAGGCTCTGTTAGCAACAGTCCAGACACTTAGAAACTGTTTTTGAGATCTCGAGCAAGTAGAGCAGAGTGGTGCAGTCGCTGAGCGTTAACTGGACACCTCTCAAGGGGCTTGAAGTTTCAAGACTTGGTTTCTGAAAACCAGATCCCTCTAAGGTATGCCATGCCTACCCTGGTAATTCCGCAGCCCTTCTGGGGAATGTGGAGGCATATTTTGATGTCCAGTCTATAAATGGTAAGGAAGAAGGGAAGAGAATTTAAGGTTTTATTATTTAAGTAATAAAGAAAAAAGCTTTTTTTTTTTTCCTTGTGTGGGCTTTTTAAGGGGAAACAAAGAAGTCTGAAGAAAAAAAATTGACTGTGTTCTACTAAAAAAAAAAGGGGGAAATAGAGTGGATGGTGGATGAGTGGGGGAGCAATAACTAAAGCTTCTTTATGGATTGTCTCCAATACTTTCTGGTAGTGTGTACTCAATAGAATTTGCTTTTTATCAAATCTCTGCTTTGAAAGCTGGGTTCAGGAGGGGAGTGGATTTATTTTGTGTGCAGCCAGAATGTTCCTCAGCACCCTGCCAAAGCACCCCAAAAAAGCCTGCTTTCCCTAGTCTCTGCAGAGGTTATAGCTCCCACAAACTTTTTGTGGCTGCTCTTTTTATGTTTTATGAATATGAGGCTTGTTGTATCATGTACCCTAATGGCTCTGCTGCATGCCTTGTGCTTTAGGCTCAGTCAAACCTTGGTGAAGGATGTGGCCATCCTTGCTCGAGAGATTCATGATGTTGCTGGAGACGGGGACTCACAGAGCTCATCGGGGACAGGACTCAGCACCTCCCTCAGCTCTGTACCCAACACTCCTGCTTCCACCATATCAGCGAGAGAAGAGGTAAGACCCTGAATGACAGAAATCTCTGCCTCTGAATGCTAGTAAGTATGTGGGGTATGGTTGTGGTGGGAGACCAGGGCAGCATCCCCAGTTGCGGCAGCATTGAAAAACCTTCATCCCCTGTCCTCCTAAAAAACACCACCAGAAAGACTGACTGCAGACTGTTTAGGGTGTTCTTTATTTTGCCCTCTTCTGTGCCATAGCCAGCCTTGCAAGAGGTGCAAGTCATACTATTTCCTAAGGATTTCATGGCCTCTAATCGGACTTTGGTCCCTGAAGTTTGCATCTGAGGAACAGGATGGAGTGCGTGTGCTGCACTGCTGTGCCAGGGAGCCAGAGCCTCCCTTCTTGTTTTAGACAAGGCACTGACCACATGCTCTGCCTGCACACTCTGCATCAGCTATGTATTTTGTACATCTGCTGCGTCCTTTCTGCCAGGGCTGTTGAAACACTGTGCAGGTGTTACTTGCATCCCTTCCCTCCATCTCTACTCTACTATTCTCCAGCCTGCAAGGTGGGCAAGGAGGAAGGCAGTTAGCTTGGGAAGTGCAGTCCTCCAGCTCTTCAGTGAAGCTGTGGCTTCCTCCCAAACTGTGTAACGCAGTTTTTCTGCACTGGAGTGGGGAGAAGAGAGGCGATTTCTTAATTTGGCTCATCAGTGCCGCAGCACAGGGGCTCGGCTCAGCTCAAACTTGGCTGCAAGGTCACCAGGAGACTCCAGCTGCTAAAGCAAAATTGCCTTTGCTGCTGTTTAAATCCAAATTCGCTCCTGCCTACCACCAGCATGGGCTTAAAAATACACAGCTCACTTTTATGTGCTGTTGTCTTTGTTGTGAGAATTGCAGACCTATCCTAAGCAGGGTTCAAAGCTGAGGACCAAACCTGTTACCCTGCCAAGAGAGTAGTTGGAGGCCCTATGACCCTGCTGTGTTCATCACTGAAGGTGCAAAGCAGAAGTTTAGGGAAATGCCCAGAGGGTCAGGGGAGTGTGGCTGTGCTTGTGTTAAACAGAGGTCACCTGTAGCCTGCTCAGGGAGGGTTTTTTTCCCCAGGCTGCTTGGAGCCACAGTGCATGAATGTTTCGCAATAACTTCAGGCTCTGAGATAAAGTGGCTTATTGTTTTGTTTCCATGCAAGTGCCACACCTGCAAAACTGCCTTTTGTATTATTCTTTTTGAGCAGTTAAGGTCACAAATCTACCTTACTTATGACTTGCAAATGAAACGTTTGCTGTGGGTTAGTAATGACCAGTACTCTGCACCCGCTTCCATCCAGAAAATCAGTGCACCTGCTTTTTTGCGGGGTGCCCCTGAAAAGTACCACCATAAGTCAGCTCATACAGAGGGATGTCCTTTGCTGTTAGAGGAAGAACACCTGCAAAACACAGTGTTTCTACTCTGTGCAAAGCGATGGGCCCCAAAGCACGTGGTTGTGATGCTGTGAATGGCACGATTACAAAGCCAGGACTGCTGGGACCCGAGCGAATTGAGGGTTTCTCTGCAACATGGCTTTGCAGCGCTGCCGTGCGCTGTGTGGGATGTGCCAGTCAGCCCCCTCGCAACAGCCAGGAGAGCAAATGTAGGGCTGTGTCGCACTGTAGGTAATGCTGCTGGCAATGCCCACTGCTAGAGCAGTTTCTGAGATTTCACAGTGGTGTAAATGAAGAAGCAGTCTTAGGAGCCTATGAAGACAGATTAGGAGCCATAGCCTTTGGTGTGTTCAGCCAGTGGTGGCTGAAACCACCATAAAGACTTTTATCTGGACTCATTCCAAATAGGGTTGGATAGCAGCATGATTTCAGCAGGGCCAGTGGCTGGGAGGCCATTTGAGTTGCACCCAAAATACCGCCATGCATTAGTGGAGCTGCTCTGTGTTAGTGATAGCCAAGGATGAGTTAAATCAGCAGGACTTTCTACTGGCGGCGCTGAGATGTGGAGCTGAATCCTGAATAGCTTGGGATCCTGAACGGTGCATCTTGGGGGTCATGTCATGAATGGGAGCAATATAATCTGATGTGGGTTTAATAAACACATATCTCATCTTTGGAACTGGACTGGAATCAGCGGGCATGCTTCCCTCAGTCTAGATTATGCTGAATCTGCGCTAAAACCAATTATTTTGGCTTAATACAGGGAAGTTGCTAGGAAATATCTGGAGATCATTGTGTGATGCTAAGTACTGTGAATTTTGAGAGTGTTTATTGAATAACTTTATATTAAATGTAGAATCATAGATTGTTTTGGGCTGGAAGGGATCTTTAGAGGTCATCTGGTCCAACCCCCCTGGCAGTGAGCAGGGAATATGCTAGGAAAGGACATAGTGATGAGAAATAGCTACTATAGTTATGACAGTAAGGTATTAAAACATCTGATAAAAGGGAATATGTGAATAAAAAATGTTTGCTGTGTGTGACTGTCTCTTATACTGCTCTGGCTCTGGCAGTGTTGTATGCCATTCTGCTAGCTCTTGATTTTTCTACTACTAAATATTTATACCTATTCTAATAAAGTGGGGAAAAATGCAGGAAAAAACAAGTACTGATGCTGGAACTTTTGAGATTTTAATGCTGTACCAGAAGCCTCACTTTGGACCAGTGTGTGGCACAGCATTTCTCAGCCTCAAATGAATTGCTTTTTAAATTACTTTTATTCCGAAGCTTGGTTAAAGATTAAAATTATGAGTGTTCTCTTAAAAGTTAAAATGGAGCCTTAGATTTAAACCTTATTCTTCGTGTTCTGTCCTTTCAGGTCCAGTGTTGGCTTGGATGTTTGCCAGGGAGGTTTTCAGTTTCCCCAGTGCATGTTTGGGGTGGTTATGTTTGTTTTTGTAGCTTCAGCTGTCTAGTTTATAATAACCTAGATTCTTGGCATACTGAGCTGAGTACTGCTACAAATTAAGAAAAAAAAAAAAAAACCACAAACAAAACAAACAAAAAAAAAGAGTTCAGCAAGAGTGAAACGTACATGATTCCTGTTTACCAAAGCCAGGGGTTGTTTGGCATGCCTTGGGTTGTGGGTGTGGAGGTTTCACAGGACCCAGCTTTCTGCAGAACCGAGCAGTCAAACTGAAAGCTCAGCTACTGCAAGTGTAGTCAAGTGGGTCATCCCAAATCACTGGCCACTTCTGCAGATTTTAGCCCCGCATGAAATTCTTTTGGTTGGTCTTTTTTTAAAGTTGATAATGATATGGCAAAAACTGAAGAGCCCAATTATGCTTGTTAAATAGCTGTTTAGCGTACTCTGTATGGGTGTTGGTATGATGAGAGGAAATGCTTACAGGTGTGACAGAACACAAAGCATGAAAACAGCCCAGGTCACATACGAAAATCTCCTGGTGATAGGGGAGCAGGTGCTGCCCTTACCATGTTTTCAACTGGTTGTGCTGAGAACTGCTGGACTGTAGGGATATCTCCTTCCCTCCTGGTGCTGTTTCACCACTGCCAGCAGCCTAACTTACTGTTTCTGCACTTCACGAAAGGATGCTTCAAAAAGAGAAGCTTATTAGTTAAACGTTTTAGCTGTTGTGCTCCTGTACCATAATATCTCATACCTTCTGCCTGTGTATAACCCAAGTGCTATTGCGTAGAGTGTGGGGAGCCTGGACCTTGGATGGCACATGGTTTCCTCGCAAGAGCTGTGTGCTTTGCCAACCAAAGAGCCTCCTGGGCTGTATGTTTAGCCCACTCTCTGTGTTCGGAGGGCTGCTGGATTTCACTCAGCACAGTCCATTTCGAAGTAACTGGGGAGCTGCCCGAGACCGCCTCTGCAGAACTGGTTGGTGACCAGAACCTCCCTGGGCTTCAGTGCATGAGGGGGGTGGGCATCGAGTGCTGGTCCTCAGGAATGCGCTTTTGGGAATGTCAACCCAAAATAACCCCAAACCACTTGTTCTCTGTGATACTTGCTGTCACAGTCATTCACTAGCATTGATCTCTGTTTCTGTTTTAACACAGATTGCTCGTAGATCTTTTCGGCTGGCATATCCATCTCAGGTGCACTTTCCATCCCATTATTTTTGTGTCTCTGTCTTGTCACTGTTATTTTCCTCCCCTTCTTTTAGAGTTTTTTGTCTGTTAGTCAACCAAACAGGAGTAGGTGTCTTGCCTTTTCTGTTCTTCCTGTTAATTATTTGCATTATCAGTGGGTTCGTATTGCCCTTTCATCTCTTTCATGTGTTACTAAGTGGTTTCTGCTTAATTTTAGTGTGGCTTTAATGTTGCATTGATATATTAAAACATCGGATATGGGAAAACAGGGCTTTTTTGAGTTTTAGCCTAAACTCAAAAAAGGCAAAGATGTATTTTTCAACTATGTGCTCAGTCTCAAAATTATAAAGTGGAATCGCCCCACTGAGTTTCGTAGGATGACTCCAGTGGGTAGATGCTTGCAGGACTGGGGTCTAGTAATTTGCTTAGGAGCCCATACCTGTCTGAACAAGACTTAAATGAATCAGTGTTCCTCTGGGGCTTGCCTGAAAATCTGCACTACCTGCAGTGAGTGCCTGTGTGCCTCCTTCCCTACTAATTTTTAATGACTCATTCCTCGTTATTTCCAAGTTGGTGCAGCACATTCCAGAAGCAAGTCTCAACTACCAGAAAGTGCCTCCGGGATCAGTGGAACTGAAGGATTTTGACCAAAATATGAATGATAATAGAGAAGAGGATCCCTCAAGAAAAACGAGGACAAGAAACCGTGAGGAGGCAGGCTACCTTTTTCTTTACTTTATACATGACATTGCTTTAAGCTGCAGTATATATATGTGCTCTTTCTAAGCTGCCAAAGGAGGCTACTCAAAAAAAAATAAAATAAATGCACTTCTCAAGAGCCCTGACTTGCAGGTATAGAAACAGTATTTAAAAAAAGAGGAACACAATCACCATTCTTGTCAATACTGGCTGGAAGTTTCCTCTCTTCTGTAAAACTCCATTAAAACCTGAGGCTTGGTCACTTGTTTGGGAGGAGGCGTTCAGTGGCAGAGCCCACTTAGGCTGTTTCACTGCTCTTTTAAAGAAAACCACAAAAATCTCAACTTTGAAATCTGCAGCACCGATAGTTTAATGGCAAGAAATGATGGCACGAAAACAGTTGTTCCTGATCAACAAAGGCACCTTATTTTTCTGCAATGGGCATGCTGGTCAGAGCTGCCCGTAGAGCAGGAGTGGCAGGGTCTGGACTGTATGAGGAGTTTCTGCAGCTGGGCTCTGGTGCCGTGGCACAGCTGGCTTGCAGACAGCAAGCTACTTGTTCTGCGTTGTTCCCTCCAACGTGTGCGATTTGATGCAGTTCTGGGGTGAGAGAGCAGGGTAACCTGGAAATCACTGGGATGATGCTAAAGGGTGAGGAAGTCTGGCCTGAAACTTGAGGCCAGGGATGGTGTTGGAGTGAGAGCTGTAATGGGGTGACGGTGATGGAGAGCAGAGGAGCAGGCTGCTGATGCAACGCTCGGCTGCTGCTTCTGCTTGCTTTCTGCATGCTGGCTCCGTCGGGGAAGGAAGAGCTGGGGCAGAGGCAGAGAGCTGGGCTCCAGCACAGTCGCTCTGCAGCTCTGGAGGGGGAATGCGACTCAAACAGGCTGATGGAGGGGAGCTCAAGCTGAACCACTGGTACCGACCCTGTCTTGTGACTGACCCGAAGCAATCCCCCACTCCCCTGGAGAGCCGTGCCAATGCTGAATAAAAGATGCAGGTTCAGAGTGCCTCCAGCTGATGGGGGCTTTCCTGGCAGAAGCCTGGGGGCTCTTTTAGGACTTGAATATTTGGGGTTTGGTGGGTTTTTTGTTGTTGTTTTTAATAAAACAGAATGTAACATGGTAGGATTTTACATGCCTGTGAAGCTGGCTTGAACTCATATAAATCACATTAGATGGTTTCAGTGAGACTGCTTGTGGTGACTTCTTGCATTGTGATTTGGCTTTTTGGGGAAGGGGGTTCGAGGGGGAGGTGCCTGTGAGGCTTGGAAAGTCAAGCTTTTCATTCAGAAATGCTTAAATCATTATTTTACTGCAGACAACTCTATCTCTTTGTACAGTCCTCAAGAAAAAAAAGTTAGTATTAGTCTTTTTGCCAAAATGCTGCAACAAAGCTGCATGTAGTCTTAATCTGCCTTGAATTCACATATCACATCCCTACAGATGAAGATGTTTCAGTGGAGATCATTTACTGTAAAGATTTCCAGTTTTGTAATATGCCACTTCTGCTAAAAGTTCTCTGATCTGTCCTTAATGTTTTAGGTAATCTTTGACAATCTGATGTTGAACCCGGTGTCCCAGTTATCACATACAATCCGTGAAAATACAGAAAACCTAGCTGAAAAAATGAAGTAAGTAACTTTTTAGCCCTGGCCTGAAACGTTGAGTTGCTGCTGAGTTTGTTGGCTTGCTACTTGAGGAAGATAATGCATTGTTGTCTTGGAAAGTCTTGTTATCAAGATGCAGGGAGTCTAGATGTAGGAAATGATGTGTGTAGTGAATGAGAGGTAACATGATTATTTGCCATTGCTTTTCCTCATTTGTTTGGCCTTTGGAATTTTAATGCTGGATTTGTAATGCCTGTTGATGCCTTAACTTTGAAATGTTGCCTGTGCAAAGAGTTAGCAGAAAATGTATTCTTGTTGGTGGATTATCTCCTCTTTCCTCCCATGTCCCAAGGCTCTTAGCAAGCCTGCAGGTCACCAAGGTTTCTGAAAGCTCTTCAAAGCCTGTTGTTGCTCTAGAAGATATCAGTTAGGGAAGGACTTTGCATCGTTACTAAATCAGCTGAAAGGTGCTTTGTCCGGTTGCTAATCCACTAATCTCCTTTGTTGTCACATCTTGTAATAATTAAGTCTTTTAAACAAGCAGCTTTTGGATGGCAGTTTTAAGACTTACTCCACTTCTTGTGCTGCAGGATTCTGTTTCAAAATTCGGAAAGGACCTGGGAGGAGATGGAGGCCAAAATTAATTCAGAAAACGAAGTGCCAATTCTGAAGACATCAAACAAGGTAAGCCCGTGGAAACGAGTGAAATACTGAAGGCTTGCATCCATGAAAGTTTTGTAAGAAACCAAAATAGCAAGTTGTGGCCCTTCCCAAATCCATTTCCAAATTTTCTAGTCCATTTGCATGTGTTGAACTGCTGTTTTCTGTTGCTGTTTGAAGTGTGACAAAGTGAGCTCTTCCAGCTGTTGTATTTCACCAAAGTCGTCCCCTCTCCCTTTGTGATTCATCTTCAGAGATCCAGTCCCTTAACAGATGTTCAAGTTCAGGGTCATTAGGCCTCATTTAAACATCTACCAAAGCATCACCTACCACGTGGTTGCCGCAGCTTCAGTTGTAGGCACATGTTTCTTGTGAATGTTTTCTTCACCTGTAACAGCTTGATAGCAGGGCAATGAAAAAGCTTCGGCCCCAGGGTGGCATTTGTGCTCTCGTGACCTCTTATTGTCATTTATGGGGATGGCCAGTAGGGATTTAAGTACAATAATGGACCCAGCAAATATGGTTAATGCTAAGCGTACATATATCTGTGAAGGACCTGCGTAGCTTGGTGCTCCAGCAGTATATATGTGGCCAATTGCTTTGCCCGGTGTAGGAGTTGAGTTTGCAAATATCTTAATGCATTTGGTGTTAAGGAGTATGAGGAGGAGCCTTTGTACAGTTAATCTGGCTAGCATTTAAAATCTAAAATCCACTGTGACTATGAACTGAGTGGTGTAGTAGCGCTTGGTGAAATGATGCAGAGCAGAGGTCCCTGTGCACTGACTAGAGGCACCTAGATAGAGATCATAGAATCCTAGAATGGTTTGAGTTGGAAGGGACCTTTAGAGGTCATCCAGTCCAACCCCCCTGCAGTGAGCAGGGACACCTTTAACCAGATCAGGTTGCTCAGAGCCCCGTCCAACCTGGCCTTGAATGTTTCCAGGGATGGGGCCTCCACCACCTCTCTGGGAAACCTGTGTCAGTGTTTCCCACCCTCATTGTAAAAATTTTCTTCCTTGTATCTAGTCTGAATCTACCTTCTTCTACTTTAAAACCATTACCCCTTGTCCTATTGCAACAGGCCCTACTAAAAAGTCTGTCCCCATCTTTCTTACAAGACCCTGTTTTAAGTACTGAAAGGCTGCAATAATGTTTACCCAGAGTCTTCCCTTCTCCATGCTGAACAACCCCAACTCTATCAGCCTTTCCTCACAGGAGAGGTGTTCCAGCCTTCTGATCATCTTTGGGGATACTAGCTGTGTCTTTTCTGTTAAGTAGGCAACGCTGGAACTGGCTTTGAATCTTCTTGATCAGATAAGGCAGAAGGAGTAAGACTAGATTCCTGTGTCAGTTGAGTACTTTGTTGCTTAATTTTCCATTCTGATTCTCTTGTTTCTAGGAAATCAGTTCTATCCTGAAGGAGCTCAGGAGAGTTCAAAAACAGCTTGAAGGTTGGTCATGTAAAATGTTCTTTTTGTCTCTCAAATGCCAGTAAGTTGCACAAAATAAAATAATGTGGTTTGATTTGCCAGTGAAAGCTGGGAAAGGATGTAGAAGTTTAGTTTGTTAGCATAGTGCTCTCTGATGAGCGCATATGGAACGAACAGTAGATTTATCTCATGCTGCCAATTTTTAAGAAAATTGTTGACTTTTGCAACATGGAAGCTGTTGCTGTGGAAATACTTTGTTTGTGGTAATTAGCATATTCCCATAAGATGAACTGGCAAAGGTCTGTTCTGCTGAAATAATATTTAGCAGCTCTTTCAGCCAATAAGCTGTGCTATGCTTTTTGGACCTGAATTTTGCACACAGACCTCTGTGCAGTAGAAAAGGCAAGACAAGCTCTTGCATCATCTAGAAGCTTAATAAAGACATATAAAAACATACAGGTGTCATTTTGGGCTCCTGCTAAAAGCTTGCCATTTGGCTGCTGTAGTTTGTCTTTTTCAATTTAACCAGAAAGTTGAACGTGCTTGTAGTTTCAGTTTGGGAGAGGTTTTGCTTGTTAAAGCTGCTTAGTCCTGAAGGTATTAATGAAGAAAATATGGTGACTAAAATGAACACGAGTACTGCCTACAGTTCTACTGCCTTCAAAATGAAGGCAGCAACCTTCTGTTTAGAAACTGCTGAGTGCTGCTAATATGTCTGTGTATGTCTCTCTCCCCCCCACCAGTCATAAATGCTATCATTGATCCTACTGGAAACTTGGATGTAGTTGCCAGTAACAAAGCCTCTTCTGCTGCAAAACAATCTACAGCCACTAAAGTCAGGACTGCTAACACTTCTGGATCCACACTGGAGACTTTGTCCCCAGCACAGATGAGAAACTACACACAGAAATCGAACTGTGGGTCTTCTAGCTTACAAGATTCGAATTTCATTCCAGATGGAGAGAAATATGTGATCTGATACAATATTTTGTATTGCTATCATATTGTAATCTACTGTCGCATTAGCATTGTGTATGAGTGGTTTGTGGACAGTTTGTGTGGAGCAGTTGTTTAGATTGCTAACACGTTGCACAAAAAAACCCCAATCTATGCTGTGAGGGTGAGTGGAAAGTCTGTGTATGCCTTTTACAAGACTAGCACTGTGGAGCAGCACATACTCAGCATAGAGGCAAACTGATTTTAAGAAAATTACTCACTCTTCCAGTGTGCCATAAGAAAACAGGCTTTGCATACACTCCATTCAATACTGCCGAAGCTAAAGTGTTCTTGCATTGGCCTGTTTATAATTATTCAGTTGTAATGAGGCGCAATTTAAAACCCACTTTTTTTGGTACTATATTTGTTTTGGTTTTGTTCGGTTTTGGTTTGGTTTTTTTTGATTGTCCAAGTGAAGCATTACAGCTCTGTTGGAATCAACGTGCAAATCCAACAGAATGATTGTGCAATATCGTGGGTTTCTAGGAGAAACTCTTACTGCTAACAGTTGTGTAAGAAGTCTTTTTCAGCGGTTATAGAAAGGTGACCACACTGAAGTTGGGCATCGTATTATTTTCAGTCCAAAAACCCAAATAAGACAGAATAAACCCTTGGTTTTTCTCTTGGAAAAGTGTAAAAGTTAATAATTGTGTGAATGTAAAGACTACTAATACAGTTACTATTTTTGATGACGTTTCAGGCCCAAAGTTTGGGGTAGGTACAAAAAGTCCGATTTTACAGTTTAGCTTGCCAAATTTTCATGATTTCGGTACAAATGCTGTCTTTAAGCTGCTTTTTTTTTTTTTTTTCTTTTTTAAAAAAAAATATACAGGCTTGTTACAATGAGCTACAAATGCTTTTGGCTGGGCCAAAGACTAAGACGTTTGTGATTAGCTAATTGCTAAGAAAAACATCTGTTCCAGTGGCTCATATAATAAACTTAATTGCACATTGCTGTGAACTAAGGTTCACTTGACAGCACTGAAAAAATGATGGCTTAAATGTAGCTCCACCTTTATGGCTAGTTCTGTTATGAATTTTTTTCAATGCAAAAGTGCTTGAAGACCACCATTCTGTGGTACTCTTCAGAAACTATTCAACAGTGTCAAGCACTTGGTACATTTGGGATTTTTGTCTGGATTTTATTGTTGGTCTGTTATAATCTTAGAAACACTAAGGGTTAAGTGCAGTTGCACTGAGCAATTCCTTGTTTTAAAAAAGTTGTTTTTTGTATTCTGTCTTTCAATTAAACTACAAAACACTAAGCAATTTTTTGTTGCTTTAAGAACGAAAGTTTTGGTTTTGAGGGGACCTCTTCCAGACGTGTTCGCTCCCAGTTTTTTCTGTCTTGCATCGATTCCTTTTTCGTTCTTCCTGGTCAATAAACAGTAATCAGGTGAAGGAATTCTTTTGTAGCTGTGGAGGATACATTTACTGGGAAAGGTGAGCAGATGAGTTCCACTTTGCCCTCACACAGTGTGTAGTTTAACCAGTGAAAATGGTTTCCCAAACTTGACTGCTTCTTGTGTGCTGACTTTATATTTTGGGGTGGGTAGTGGATTCCTTAGTTAGCTTCAGTAGTTACCTGAGCTTTTCTGCTAGAATGTTGTAACGGTGGGAACCTGTTAAAGTAATTTAAATAAATAGGGGTGCTCACAAAGTGATTAATCTTACTAGCAAAGACCATGATTGCTTTCCTGGTGAAGCCCGTGGGAGCTTTCTATAAATTTCAGCAGAAACGGGATCAGTCCCAAAATGGGAGTATACCAACAGGCCATTGGTTTCTTTTGAGTGTGCAAGGTGCTGGCTGGTAAAATAGGTGCAAATATCCTTCCAGGATTTCCAGTAGGTTATAAGACTCATCTGCTTGTGTGGAGGTGCTCTTCCATGAAGAAATCTGCTGGATTTAACATAGATGAATGCAGAATAAAAAAAGAATTTTCCCTTGATGTTCTTCTGCCTGTAATATATGCACTATCTGAATGTGTTCATTCAGTCATTTATTCTGACCTGTCTTTTCTTGAAATACCTGACTGTGTCCTTGATGAATATCATAAAGTGGTGGTATCATTCCTGACATATGAAACACATTTTTCAAGCCCTTCTTGGTTAGGGTTTGAACCGACCAGGTGCTACCCCAACTCACTAGGAGTTGAAGGACCTTCACAGATAAGGTGTTGCTGTTAGTTTCAGTTTTGCTGTAGAGACGTGAATTACTCAGACACCTGACTTTATAATTTCTTTTCTATGTTTCCACATCTTCATGGCTATGCTCTAGTGGATTTTGTTTCTCTACAACGTGTCCTTGGTGGGACTTCTGTTTACTTTCACCTGAAAATTGCTTGATTCTTCTTTCGTTCATGAATGCATCAGGGATGGATTTTCTTCCTTGGTTGCTCTGTTCTGAACTTGAGAGAGAGCCCACAGACACCTTACATCAATTAAACCAACCCGGAAAATATGGTACCTCTTCAAGTGACTAATAAGGATGCTACGATCGGTGTCTGTTTATGGTTTGGAAATGTGTGTGTGAAGGCGGGGAGGATGTACAGCTTGATTTGTTTTATTTGTGACTTGGCCAAACTATAAAATGCTTCTGTGTCCTGACACAACGTTCATCCTTGGATCTTTGCATTTAAAACGGTTTTGCTAGTCAGTGGTGAAATGCTACATATTTTTTCTTGTATTCACTGCTTCTGAAGTACACCCCACTTGTACTTGTCTGCTCCAGATAAGCCAAAGAGCTAGCCGCCTGACTATTACTCCTTCGTCGATGTTTCATTCTTACGAGCAGTACTGTATGCAGCCATGAAAACATGCCTCTCTGTGACTCCAGGGTGACCGTAGCAGATGCATAGTGGTGTGTCTGGGTGGCCCAGGGTCGGTGCACAAGAGACCTTGTTGGCTTCCATGAGCAATGGATGGGCCTTGCATTGAGCTCGGTCGGGGGGAGGCTGCCCCGTGGGTCACTCTCATACTGTATTGCTTTCACGTGTTTTGTATCTGACTAAAGAAATGTAACTGAAGGGTGGGATTTTCAAAGTCGTAGGGAAGCAAGCGCTCAGGTCCTTTTGGGTTTCCATATGCTTTGGGTGCCTGATGCTGTGAGCAGCTTTCAAAATCCCAGCCCTCAGCTCTTCCACTATACTTGAAAACCATGTTCTCAGTTCAACGCTTTCAAATGTAAAAACCTGTTACTCTGTTCTGATGGCGTGAATGTAAATTCCAGTGAGAATGTGTACGAGCTTTGTGAGCGAGGACCTAAATGTATCTACGGTGGTGTCATGTCGTGATTGTGCTCTAGGAGAAAAGAACATCTGCATCATCTTTTAAGTACTTTAGTAAAGGTACAACTAGTGGAATGTTTACATACAGCCTACTGAAAAAAAAAGAGGAGACAAAAAAAAAGGTAAAAAAGTGTAAAGTATTTAAGTGCAAGATTCTACTACTTTTTTCTTGTTTTGCAGATCACACTAGCTATTTTTGAAGTTCAGTAAATGTGTATAACTTTTGCAAAGACCAGACAGAACTACCTGTTCACTTTTGATGTGCCCCATGCTGAATTGTGCCTATTTCACTCTCTGCTGTTGTTATGCTGCTGATTTTGCTGTTCTGAACTGTTCACTGGATCATTCCATTTGCATGCAACACAAATGCAAGCTGAGCTGTCTGAGAGTAAAGCTGAAACACATTTGTATAACTTGAATCGATTAATGACTTTCTCTCTTCCACACCCTCTTGAAATGCTGTGTATAATTTTGATTTTTCTCCTGCCCTGATTTTTTTTTCTGCTTTTGTTTTTCTTTTTTTTGAATGGTAATTTATTTTTGTTTGGATTATAGGCAGTATCTGTACATTTTGTTTCAAGGTGATATTGTGGACGTCTTTAAAAAACCAAATTGTTATTTTATATAATTTTATCATAAAGTTGCTCTAATAAATCATTCTTTTATCATGTGACAATGGTTCTGGATTTCGTGTGTTAATTTGGGGGGGAGTACATGTTTGGACTACATTTTCCAGCTGCCTGTTTACATTGGTTTTAAGTACAACGTAATGAAAGAATTGGCTGCAACTGAAGACTCATGATGCAACTGGATCCGTCCTGGTGACACCCACAGCTGGGGCAGATCCCTCTCTAATAGTACAGGAGTCCCCTTTCCCCTGCCCCCATAGTTACAGGGTTGAAGTCCCCAAGTCCTCATCGCCTGAGGGTGGTCTGTCTTCTGAGTATGGTATGGTGATATTTGATTTAATTTTTAGTACTGTTTATTTCATTGCCATGATTAGCAATGGTAGTTAAATCCAGCCTGGGTATGGTCATTCCCCAGCAGGTATGTGATTATAGAAATACATTACTATACTCACTTCTGCTGTCACCTTATATATACATAGGAGTTTGTGTCTGTGATACTCTTCTGATTTTTTTCTTCATTCTGTCACTGTCCTCCTTCCCTCCTGCAGTTCTGTCTGAGCTTTGCATCCTTCCTGCACTCTTGCAGTAACATTAATTCCTCCTTCCCCTCTGCACAGCCTTCGGGTGCCTGCAGCCTCCCCCACCCTGCTCGATGCCACCTGGGACTCTGACTCCACATCCTCTGCATTTGCACCGCTTCTGTAGGAACTAGAACGTGTGTAGCTGATAAAAACATTGCATTGTTTGCCAGCGATAATGAAAATACAGAAAAAGGGGGGGGGGGGGGGAATATAGAAGGAGAATTTTGTTGTTTTAAAAAAAAAAAAAAAAAAAAAAAAAAATCTTCTGTGTCTCTCAAACTTTCTTAAACTTAGTTTGTCTATGCTGTGTCTGCAGAGGCAGCTTTCTGTGTTCTCTGAAATACAGGGCTGGGTTACACACTAACTGTATTGCCTCTCCACAGGCTTCCCTGGTGGTACGGAGTGGTATTTGAGTCGGGATGCTGTGCAGAGTGCCCTTTGGAAATCAGCTGTGCATCCACTTCATTAATTTTTAACAGCCTGACTGAATAAACATAAGAGGCAGTGGAGCTGTGGCTAAAAACTTTGCAACGTAGTGAAAGCTGCTATCTGGCAGAATTTAAAAATGAAGGCTAGATGGCAAAAGTAATTATCTCTTCTGTGCATCTTCCCGCTGAGTGTTCACCTGGAATCCTGCCTGGCTCTTCAGCGTCCTCATCTGCACTGAGAAATGAGCCTGTTTCTCCACGTGCATATAGAAGGGAACACCAGAAAGCGTTGCCTTGAGCAGGGTTTGCAGGATCCTTCCTTAGAGCAAAACTTTTAAGTCATCAAGAGAGACAGGTTCTCATCTTTTGATGTCATGTGGAGATCTACCACTAGCCCCTCATCTATTGAGCCCTGCCCACGCGATGGTGTGGGAGGGGTGTGGGAGGACCATGCCTTTTTCAACAAGGGCATTCGTGGAATGTTCAAGAGCAAAGCCCCGCGGGGATGGGGTTGACATAGAGCAACTGGGTGGTTTGGCTGTGGGGCGTGTTGCTTTCCTCAGGAGGGGTACGACCATTTGGATGCAGCCTTGCAGGTACTTGGAGCACGTGCACACTTGATGTAGTTATCTAGAAGTGTTTTATTTTAATGCATTGACTTCTTGGGTCTCTGAATAGCATGGGCTGAGCAAGGGAAGCCAAGAAAAATCAGTGTAAGAAAATAGTGCTCGCTAGGACTTTACCCTCCTTAACCTTTTTTTTTCTCCTCTGAACAGAAATCACTGAAAATACTGTACTTGCCAAAAGAATTAGTGCCAGAAAAGGCTTGTTCAGCAGTAACGCTTCTGCCTCTGTCGACATCCAACTCACAGGAATCATAGGAGAGAAAAGAAAATACAAACCCAAAATGTGGCACCCACTTGGGGACTCTTCATAGACAAGGAAAGATCCAGAGGCACGAGTGAAATTGAGTTTCAGCCAGAGGTCCTGTGGCTTTAGCATAGCAGTAACTATAGGCAGCAGGTCCCTTTTGGGTGGTACGTTCCTCCCAGGGAAGGGATCTCCCTCCTATCCGCTGATAGCTGGGCAGGCTTGAAGAGGATGGGTTATATCTAATGTAGCCCATGACACACCTCCACCGCAGGCAAAGCAACCTCTGTGCAAGCAAGAAAAATGTCCTTTGTCATCAGGGGGAAGTGAGGATAGTGGTCGCATCAGGCCAGCGGTTTCCTGGGCTGCCGGGTACTTTGCAAATCGAAGAGTAGTAGTGTAATTTTGGTAATGCAAAGCCAGATATATGCAAGGCAGACAGCACATACTGAAGCTTTTCCTAACACTTGTAGGTCATCTTCCCTAGGTGCCACACAAGGATTGACAAGACTGAGACAGCAAAGGACTCTGTGATCACTTCAGCTATGCAAATCACTGATTGATTTTTTTCTTTAATCAAAATATTTTTCCAAACAAAATACAGCTGACAAGCACTTAATTTTAGGTTGAACAAAATGATTCCAAGTAAGTGTTAAATATTTCGAGTTAAATGTTTCAATTCCATGGTTAGATATTTTAGTGAATTTATTGATTTTTTTTTTAAAGTGGAAATTAAATAATTAAAAATATTTCCAAACAAAAGAATCACAATTTTATTTAGACTTTGAATTTTTCTCTAGGCTTGTCGGCTGAATCACTTCCCAATCCTTTGACCTGAAATGACTCTGCCCCTCCCCCCCATCCTCCAGCTCACTTGAGTATACAATCTTTTGGCACAAAGTATAAATAGAGCATTTTTCTTTTCAAGTGTGAGGGCCCTGGCTGTTCCTGCCTCCTCCCATCCTTCTGTCGACTGTTGGTGTTCAGAGCCCAGCTGCCCAGTCCTCGTGGAACAGAAAGTGTCATTTTGTAGTAATCTCCGTGGTGGCAGCAACATTTTTATCTATTATTAGCTCTCGGAGATGAGAAGGTGTTAAACTTCTTAGCGAGCCTCCCACACAGGCACTAAAAGATCTTGCACTGTATCTTTTAATGCACTCCTCTAACAAACTGGAGTCCAAGCATGCTTTTTAGGGGGAGCATATAAACCACAGCGTGGCATCCAACCCTACGGGGAGAGGTGCATTTACTCTGTGAGTGGGAGGGTGGCAAGCCAACCCGAGCAGCTTAGTAGAAGAAGCCTTGTCTGAGAGACGGGGAAGAGGAGGATAAAAAAAGATGGCTTGTTTGCCCTGAAACCTGCCAGTCTGTTTTTCATTTCCTCCCTCCAATTGAACGAGTTGGTCAAATAAGCCATATTCTCCCCACAAACCCATTTTTAAACCCTCACAGCTACATCGCTGCTGGTGAGATCAGAAATGCGTGGTTGATGTTGGGCTGATATGTGAGATCAGATAAGCAGAAGGAAACCAGGCCTTTGCAAGATGGAGAGGAGGAGGACGATGAGATTAATCAGAGCTGTAAGTGGTTAGAGAGCTGCCGAGGAGGAGAAATGCAGTTCCATTTTCTGGAAGCTGCTCTTCCTCCTGATATAACCCAGCCTCTCTCCCAGTTCGAACTAAACTGGTGATACTGGAGGCACTAATGATGTCCTGAACTTCACGCAAATGTGCTTCTGCTTGTGTGGTGCCTTTAGCTTTCTGGTAACCCGAGTCTAAAGGGACGGCAGTAGCCTTTGCCTTGTTTTTAAGCCCTGTTTGAATAGAGATTTGGGATGGCCCCAGTGACAGGTGATCTGTGTACAGCCACAAATTCAGGAGAGAGCTGGCTGGTCAGACAGGCGTCTGCTCCACTGTCTTTTCTCTCGCTTTTGGCTTTCATTGAGTTACTCCTTGTGCTTTGATCCCAGGGAAGAGAGGATTCATCACACCTTCAGCTTCCCAGGGAAAGGCCTCTTTCTGCCCTACCTCACCTATTCTCTGTCTCCTCTTAGCTTTTCCGTCTTCACCAGCCTAATAGAAGGTACGATAAAGCCTCATGATCCTTCTTGGCTCTCAGTTGTCTCTCCACTGGTTGGTTTTTTTTCCCTATGGCAGCCTTCCTCAGGTACTGAACTAGGGAATTACATCCTTGGTTCAATAGGATCAAGGAGATCCTGGACAATAAGAGCAGCATTGCCATATTGAGTTGGGTCAACTGAGGCGCAGCCTTTGGATTTTTACAGAAGACACAATTTCTTAGAAGCTGTCTTAAACTCAACATTGCATGTAACTTCCCTCAACAATGTCACTGCAAATTCCAAATACCTTTTAAGAGGAAAGCTGTATTATTTCAAAGGAGCTAGTTTGCTCCCTTATGTTTGCCCAAGGATGATTGGGCAGGAGGGTGCTTGCAAAAAGGAACTGGGTAGAGAGGTGGTGTTGGAGGGTTTGTTTGTCTGTTTAAAATGAAGCTTCTGGTGGGTTAAGAATGAAGCAGTGAGAGCACTGCCGTGTTTGGGACACAAACAGCACTGGAGCTGAGCGGTCCTTTCAACCAGCATCTTCTAGTGCTGATCTGGGCCCTGATCTTACACCGCTGAGGGCAGTGGGAACTTAGCCATCCAACAGAGATTGAACCAGCTCAGGCGCTGTGGCCAGTTATGCTGGACAGGTGGAGATCAGGACCTGGAGTCTAAGAACTGGGTCGCAACAACTAGATGAGAACTTGGGACTCTAACTCTCGGTGCATGTTGTGAAACTCAGTGTTTAAGAGGAAGTAATCTGCAGCAGGAGGAGGAAAAAAACAGAAGAAGCTGAAATAAATCTGCTGGTGAAAAGCGTTGCGCTGCCTCTTGTAAGTAGAGTTGGGAGTAACATCAGACTACGGTAGGACACGTACCCAAGAAGAGGCCTTCCAGGATGGTAAGCACATTTGCCATCATCTTGAGCATGCTGGGGGTGGCTGTGGAGGGATGAACACACCTTGTTGATCTGAGGAGCTTCAAACAGCTTCCGGGGAGGATTTTGTATGGTGAAGTATCTCATTCTTGAGTTTGCAACCCAAAATCTGAAACAGTTTGACACTGATGGAGAAAAGAATTACTAAAAGTTATTTTGGCGGCAGGGAGAAAGCAGCCTTACTGTTATAAACAGCAGTCTCCCGCGTGTCCTTGGGAGATTGTGGTGTTAGCTTGTGGAAGAGTCTATGAAGCAATGCTGAGTAGCGCCTGTATTTATTGCTCTTGGATGAACTTCAGTCGTTGAAATTGGCAGCTAGTGAGGCCCTGAAAGCTTAGAGGGAGCCATAGTTAATTACTGACCAGCTACAATATTATTCTTAAGAATTCTGGTTGAGTCTGTGATGTTTTCTTTCTTGAAAACTAAACAGCACATCTTAGTGCAGTTCTCATGACTTCTGTGTAGCTGCTGGGAATCCAACCCATCACTGGGCAATGTATCAGGAAGGGCTTTGAACCAAGTGGTAGATGACTCTACTATGGCACAGATGAGATCTGTTCACTCTCGTATTTTAAGATAAATGCTGCTTTTTGAAGCCATTTTGTAACTGTTGCTGAAAAAAGAGAACTGAAACAAGTTGTTTCTCACAAGCTCCCTCCTGAAGCCATCACAGGGCTTTAAGTGCACCTACAGCCGCAGCTCCCTACTGAGACACTGCTTGGGTCACTGAATGTATCGTGAGGAGCACCTTAGCCTTGGGGGCCCGAGGGACGAGGTGACACTCTCCCCTTCTCTCTTGCTCTCTTTTCCTTCTCTTCCTGCTAAGTTTCCTGGGTTGGCATTTGACCGCTTTCTCTCCAGGTGGTGGAATGACCTGTGTGGCTGTCACATGGCTTTCTCTGCCTGGTGTGTTATACCCCCCTCTCCACTTGGGCTGTAAGCTCTTTGGGGTAAGACACCGCGTCTTTGTACTCTGCCTAAAACACAAACCAGAATTTTAGGGGCATGAGGACCTGACATTCACCAGGGGATGGCCAACCATCCTTTCACTGCTGGCAGCAGCTCAGTTTCTCCAGGGCTGGGAGAATGGGTATTTACCTGCCAGCATTTATAACTATTTCTAATGTAAAAGCTGGCATCAGAGCCCTGGCACAGGCTGCCCAGGGGGGCTGTGGAGTCTCTTTCTCTGGAGATATTCAAAGCCCGCCTGGATGATGTCCTGTGCAACCTGCTCTGGGTGACCCTGCTTTAGCAGGGGGGTTGGACTGGATGATCTCAGGAGGTCCCTTCCAACCCCTGCCATTCTGGGATTCTGTGATCCGTATCTGGGGCAGCAAAAAGAAGTGCCAGTGAAAAGTGTGAGTAAAACTGCCTTGGAAAGTAGGTGCTGCTGTAGTGATTACAGCTGATAGTAACAAGCAGCAGATCCTGAAACAGAAACTTGGCTTTCATCTCTGCAGCTCTAGCATGCTTTTAACCACGACTGTTTGCACCTTTTCTTCCCTCTCCATCTTGTCTGCTCTTTTACCTTGGGTCCTCTCTTTTCACACCCCTCTTCCCCACGTCACTGTTTCAGACCCACCTTCCTTGTCTCCTAAGACATCCCCCACCTCTTTGGTTCAGCTCCACTATTTCTTGTGAGCTGGGTCCCACAGGAAGCCTCTGGGGCTATGTCCGTGCTGTGTCCAACTCCTGCCCATTCCATGCGTTCACAGCATCTTTACAGAAAGGTGGCATGGGCAGGAGCTGGGTGCAGCATGGATGGTGTGCCTCACTGGTATGGGAGGGCGGGCACCACGAGCCCATCCGGCTCAGGTGAGGATAGCTGTGAACATACGGCAGGATGGGTGAGACATGCCTGGCAGGATCCTTCCTACCTAAAACTTGTTTGAGTGTGGCCACCCACAGAGCAATTGCATATCCAATGCCATTGCAGCAGTTTCATCCTCCAGGCTGCAAACACCCAGGGGCTCGGGGATAGGAAGTGGTGGTTTGGGGACTGGACAGGTGGTGATATCATCTGGTAGCGCTTTTTGAGACATACCATACCGCAGGATGTGCTTGCTTCTGAGCATGAGCAACAACAGCTGACTCCTATGGGTTAAATACACCTCTGCCCGTGCAGGGATGATGTGTGGGCCATGTGTGAAGTTTTTGGTTTGACCTTTTGAGAAGGCAAAATAGGAAAGTGGCCAACTACCCCTGCCCTATAACTTGCTGTGAGTTTGGGTATATTTGGGTATTTGCTCTTGTGGTCACCTCTGCTGGTGATAACAAAAGATTGGAGCAACACTGTCTAAGGAGAAAATGAAGTTAACTTAATTTCCCATGATCATGGCTGCAGCAGGGGAGAAGATGTGTTTAGATTTCAGCCTGGTCCATGTCCCCTTCTGAAAGAGACACTGGCGTTGAAGACAACTCCCACACAGAGGAAGAGAGCAGGAGCCCAACAGAGACACGCACAGGACGACATTGATGCTGTACGCTGTCACCCACAGCTCCTGCGCTTCGTTATTGCTTGGTGTCAAATGTGTTCGCTTGCAACAGGCCAAAAGTGGGTGTTGGAGGGTAACTTGAAGAGGCAGCGATGCGGTTGTTTACACATTAATTACTGCAGTGATTTTTTTGTGACTAGACAGCACCAGGGAAAAGACTGCAGGGACCTGTCTCTCCCTCTCGCTTTGGAGTCTATTAATGTCACTCAAGGCCCATAACACTGCGAGGATGTTGCACAGATCCGTACTTAAATCTCAGAGTGCTATATACAGCAATGGCAGTAACCTGCATTTTTAGTCTGTAACTGGCTTTATACAAATGCTGCCATAAAGCTTTATTTTCCCCCTTGCAAACATTTCTGTTTTTCAGATTGTGAAAAAAGCATTAAAAACATCCCTGATGTTTACTGAGTCCTCCAACATGAAATTAAGCGTGAACAATCAAAAAGACGTCAAAACGGTAATTATTGGGATACACTACATTTGCTTACAAGAGCTGAGATTACGCTGACATTTCTGAAAAGAAATAACAGATTAAGAATGATTTTGTTGCCTGGTTTAGAAATCCATGTAGGTTTTGATCCTATTTGTAAACAAGCGAGTGACAAAGCCCTCACTGATTTATCCGGTAGGCTGATCAAACCTTGCCCAGAGGGAGCAACATGGGGCCTAACCCTGCAGCCCTGGCTCAGGACAGCAAACCTTGCTCATGCAAATAGCTTCATTAGCACAGCATTTATTTATTCATTCAGCATGCCTAGAGCACCTGGACACCACCGTGTATCGCGTGGTGACAGCCAAGATGTGGCTTCGAAGTGGATCTCTTGCTTTAGAAATGTCTTCTAAAACCTGTGCGCTGTTTAAGTCTTGCCAACATTTCCACGGAATGAAACGCAGAACTGTTAAAAATTGGTGGGATTTTTTTTGCCATCAATGAGAGGGAAAACAAACCAGAAGGCAAAAATTTAAGTAGATAGTTTAAAAACATTTGTGTCATTCAAATCCCTGCCTGAAAACGATAGCAGCGCTGTAGATCTTGAGAAAGGCAGAGAAAATGAAAAGTAAGAAACTTTATCCACACAGAAACAGAAATAGATACTTTCAGAGGCAACTGGTTTCTCTGCAGTTTTCATATGGACCCTTTTGGGAGCTCACATTTATAGCTACAGCCCCTCACAACCACTCCCAGGCTCTGTTCTCTTGCCTGGAGGTTCCAAAGCACGACTCTGAGGTTCACGTTGCCTATCACAGGGTGCTGGACGGTCTCCACTCCCAAGAATTGCCATCGGGAGCCAGGCACGATAATTGCTGGGGGCAAATGGATCTGCACGGGTGGCTGTATTTTCCTTCTTGATACAGGGCAACATACAGACCCTGGTGCTGTATGTTACAGCATGTGAGTGGCTGGGCTCCAGAGCTGGATATACCAGGTGGCCAGGCTAAAAAAAAGGAAGAAGTACAGAAAAAGGGAAATGAATCTAACTTGCCACACTAGAATGCCAAAAAAATACTATTCACTCGCCATATGAATAAATTACATTTGTGTAGTTTCACTTAAGTGAGGTTTCAGTTAAAAGCTAAAAACAGAACATGTTCAGAAACCACCAAAAAATGCCCTCCTGCTTCTGACATTTTCAGACCAGTTTTTTCTCCCCTGACTTCATGAACTTCTTCTTCATGGTAGTGCTGGGCTAAACCTGTGTTATGGATTCCCTTGTTTTATTTTGGTAGAAACTTTGTTGAACACCCATTTGTCTTGTGCTAAAATAAAGCTAATCAACATCAAATGAATTATAAGGTTTGGGGAAAAAACCAAGTTTTTGATATGTTGGCACAGGAAAAAGTAAACCAGAACTAGAGTCATGGTCCTCACATAAACCAACTCTTATGTAGCTTGTGGTCCTCGCTTTCAGTGGTGTATCTAAGAATACTGTCTGCCAGTAGCTGAAAGCAGAACCACTATTCAATTACTGTGATTTACTCACCTGCAACAGATAGTCACCCATTAGCTGGTGTATCAGTGACTTGGTGATCGCTTACATCGTATCCTATTTGGATTCTGTTCTAGTTTCAAATCTTAAGGGCAATTTTGATACTTGGTCTTGTTGTCCTGATGGCTTTCTACTTGATGAGAGTGAACAGCACAGTTGATCCTAAGGGAGAAGAAGCAGTTTTCAGAATTTATGGAGGGGAGGAGGAAGGAATCTATGGAGATCTCCCAGGAACCACAATAACTGAGGAGGACACCTATAAATCCAATGATTCCTGCAGGTAAGTCATGCCCAATGGTACATGGAAAAGTAATCACCAGGTGGAGAAATAGTTACAATGCTGACAATATCAGCACGGCTTTTGTTCTCTTCCCATTGTATAATAAGTGATAAAGTACCACTAACGTGGGAGAAGTGGGCTGTTTAGGCACTGGGACATTAGTAGTTGCCCATTATGAGGGGTGGTAGGGGCAGCATCGCAGCTCCACTACTGGTCCTGTGCTTGTATGTTCAGTGTAGCTCTGTAGCTGCTCCACCACCTCTAGCTGTCCTCTCTTTGTGGCAGTGGTGGGACACAGAAGGGTGACCGGTGGGCAAAGCAGCTGCTGCTGAGCTCACCCTTTCTCAGGGGCTGGAGGGGGCAGTGGGCGTTTGTCCTGGCAGAGGGTGGAGAGGGTACCAAAGTGACATCCAGACCCAGGAGGTGATTTTTCTCCCTGTCTTTAGGATTGTAAAATGCAAAGCTCAGAATGGCTACTGAAAAGCCATTCTGCTGGATTTGGGAGGACAATGTACATATAAGCTTGGCTATAAAAACTGGGGATACAGAGTACTCCCAGCTTGTTTGTCTAGCTCAGCTTGTTTGCTTTTGAGGTTGACATTCAAAATGGCCAACTCTACGTCTTGACAGGTGCTTGTTTTGCTGCTTGGGTCACAGGTGCTTGCTTCATGATATACAATTGCCATTGCAGGTTTGAACTTGTGGAAAACGTTCCTTATGACTTAGCTTTTGAGATAAACAGCACTGCAGCCAAACCCTTGTACCAAGCCTGGATGAGGCTCCTTGATATGGCCCAGGAAAAAATTCATGTGGCTTCTTACTATTGGTCTCTTACTGGGAAGGATATCAACGTCAATGATTCATCTTCCAAGCAGGTAGGAGAAAATCAATGACAAGCGCATCCACGGTTGTATGTCTCATGTACATGTGGCAGATGGCAGACTGACTGTGTGGTCAGATGTCCCAGAGACATTGCTTGACAATTCCTGCGAACCCAGAAAGATTTTTCATGCTGGTCTGAAGCAGCACACCAGTTTTCTTCCTCCAATCAAGCTAGACTCCATCTGGGCTCTATCCATGTCTCTGAATGCTGTGTTTTAAGAGCAGCCCAGAGGTCAGTCTCAAACCCACACTTGCTTACCCTGCAGTTGGTCAGCCTGTGGTAGGGGCAGCCAATGGCACGGCTGAAGAGCCTACAGGATCCCACGTACACAAGTGAACATGCCAATTCCCTCTGGCTAGCTGGAAGGGCCAGGAAATAAAGTCTGCTGGACTTTTGACTGCCTCAGAGGCTGCTTCTCCCCAGTGTATGGACACAGCATCCACATTTGCCCATTTTGCAGGTGTCCCTGAGCCATGCTGTTGGATCCCAGCTTAGGATGTTTGCCCTCCTCTGCAGGGCTGTTCTCATCGGTGCCCTGTGCAGCTAGGCTTCCTGCAGGGCCTCTCTGGCTCCACCACCAAAAGTAAATGACAGAGACCATGGCACAGGCTCACGTTGTGAGCACATCATCGTGTTTACTTGTCCCTTGGTTCTCTTTTGGCCTGTAGCAGCTGGCAACCTCCCAGGCAGCCCAGAGCAGAGTCTGGATGATGGTATGGGCTAGGGACTGTTCTGAAAAGCAGAAGGGACAAGGCCACTCTATTTCAGGCAGGTCTGGGGTTTAGCCATGTGTCAGGAATCGTGGTGGTTGCTGATAGACCAGATGCTGGGTTGTCCCTGTGGGCAAAGCCTCTGTCTCCCTCCTGGCACACCTTCCTCTGGGTCTGCTCTCCTTGTCTTCCTCACCAGGGGGGCGCTGTAAGCTGACTCATCTCCTCCACGTGAGAAGAAGTAAAAGCGACAGCTGTAAGGTTGAGCCCTGTCTCTGTTAAAGCAGCAGCTCGGTTCAGGATGGCCTCTGTTGCTTTCATCCTCGGGCAGAAATGGTGCAGCACATCTGTTGAGCATCAGCATCCAACAGTTGATCTTCATTGGGGCATTTACTTTTGCTGGGATGTTTGTGGTCGTACTTTTAAACCTTGTATCTAATAGCATTAAATGATAGAAAATAAACTTTGATTCATACATTGGATCAAAATATTTTTCCCTTTTTTCTTCAGTTGAAACACTCCCGAAATAGAATCATAGAATCATTTGACTGGAAAAGACCTGAAATAGAATCATAGAATCATTTGACTGGAGTCCAACCATACCTAGGTGAAATTTCTGACCACCTTGTGCTGGGGTTCTTCAAAGGAAGCATCCATTAGTAACACTGTACTTGCTTATATTTTACTAAATATTCTATAACAAAATATAAAATTTAACAAACAATGTACCATGCAGGGCGAAGATATTCTGAAGAGGTTTGAGAGGTTACTTGCAGAGAATGTCTCTGTGTATGTTGCGGCAAGTATGCCAACTTTGGCTACAAATTCAACCGACCTCGAGCTTTTAGAGGAAAAAGGTAATTATCTCACTCAGAACTTCAGGAATGCAAACAGGCACCTGAGAGAAGCTGCTCTCCAAGGCCTGTTCTGACCTGGTGCTTATGTGGGTTCACAGCACTATTCATGTTCACACAAGCACTATTTATGCAGTAGTCCATGATTTCTGTCTATGTTGTCAGGCCCTTAAGGATTTTTCTGAAAGTTCACATTTTGTATATTTTTGCAAGTTATTGTATTCCCAGGAATGAGTGCTTGTGAATTTTGGTAGTTCGTACCAGTTGTAGATATTAGACATCCAGACGCATTCTGGATACATACAGGGGAGCAGTATAGATTACCGTCTCCATGCTGTATCTAAACTCTTTTTCCCTTCCCCATCTTTCTTCAGGGGCTCATGTAAAAAAGATCGATTTTGGACACTTGGCAGGAGGAGTGTTGCATAGCAAATTCTGGATTGTAGACATGAAACACATATATATCGGTAGTGCAAATATGGACTGGAGATCTTTATCTCAGGTAAGCTCTGCTGCTGCATATTCAAAAATCTGGGGGGAAATTCACATCCTAGCACCTAACAGAGATAATTCATGATGATGTAAAGTATTGACTGAGTGGGAGAAACAGCAAAGAAACCCCTGGAGGTGGGGTGGCTCCTTCTGGGGCTGCGACAGAGCTTGCTCTCTTTGCAGGTGAAAGAGTTTGGTGCTGTGATATACAACTGCAGCTGCTTGGCCAAAGACCTCTGGAAAACATTTAGTACTTACTGGGATCTTGGACATGCTAATGCTACCGTCCCATTCCCTTGGCCTCTTAATTATTCTACCTACATTAACAAGCATCAACCTCTGGAAGTAGAATTCAGTGGAATCTTGACAAGAGCCTATTTTTCTGTAAGTATATTTTAACATAAAAAGATAGACGGTAAACTATGTTTTAGAATTGGCCAGAAAAGTTTCTTCGGCAGTCCTCAGCTGCTCGTGCTCCAGTTGGGTAATAATAATTCATTCAACAGGTTTCTCTAGAACTGCTCAAGGAATAAGGGTTGACCCAGCTTTGGTTGTCAGGTAGTACGGCAAGGATGGGGTGCAGGTCTCCTTTAATTACCCATGGGCTCAATGTATCAGTAAATATCCGAGCTATCAGGACATGGAAGGCATGAGGAACAACAGTGGTCCACCTCAAAAACTGAGCAGTTCTGGATATAAATGAATCGCAGCCTGACAGAAAAAGGATGAAGTTACTCACCTGTGTGTTTTCTTCTTTACAGGCTTCTCCTCCAGCATTTTGTCCAGAAGGCCGCACACAGGACCTCTTTGCTATAGTCAGTACTATCGGTGAGGCACAGAAATTCGTCTATGTTTCTGTTATGGAATATTTCCCTACCAGCCGTTTCACTCATCCAGAAAGGTACAAATCCTGAGCAAATCAGTTGACTGCACTATTTAAAGGAAAAATGTACTATTACCCCCCCGCTTCCACAATGAAAATACTCAGAGTTGAGAGAACTGAGGCTTTGCTCTGCATTCACGACTGCCTCGTGGACCGTGCAAACACTGATGCTACAGGAAGGATGGTACCCAGTGCTGCCCGCGTGCTTCGCAGCGGGTTAGAGCAGCCTCCTGCGCCCTTCACACAGCAGGAAAACTGTGAAGTGCCAGGCTAGGCACAGTCAGGTACAGCTCCCTTCAGGATACAACAGAGCAGCTTTACGAATAGAGAGAGAAATGGGAACAGCAGAAATATATCTGACATCAGACTTTTCAGAGAAAATATTGTTTTGCTCCCCTCTTCTGCTCCCGTTTCTTTCTGTTCTTTACTTTGAAAGACTCTTGACTTCTGGCTCTGCTGCCTGTTTGGCCTACTTGACCCATAGTTTAGAGGCGGATTCTTAGCTGCCCTTGCCGACCTCTGCAATGGTAGCTGAAACAGTCTCTGAAAGAAACTTCTGGGCTTTTATTTTCCTTTTTTAATAATACCATCTAAGGACGTCCAAGCTCCTGAGGTGTGCTGGGTGTATGCAGCAGCAGCCCTCAAGGAGAAGGTGGTAATGGTGACCTGGAGTGATCAAATTGTGTGTGGTGGACCTCTGCCATGGTCCCAGTGGGCTGCCCAAGGTCACAGAATTATGCAGACTCTGCACATCAACTCAAACCTGAGTAACACAGGAAGTTAGTCACAGGGAAACTACTATGACTCCAAACCTTCTTAGATATGGTTGAATTAGGATGTCTATATGCAACCGAGTGTCTGAAAAGTATCTCCTTATAGCATTTGTGAGTTTCATCTAATCATCTAAATAATCTGGCTGAGAAAGAAGTTCAAGCAAAATAATTATGTACAACGTGGCTTGTAAAGAATAGGGTGAGTTCTAGGTTGCCATTTAGCCACAATTATACCCCGCGTCACGTCCTCTGGCGTGACTGTGTAAAGCCTCTGTTGTTCAGCTGGGGGTGTGTGTGTTAGCAGGAAGGGTGTAGGATGGTAGACAGACACAGAGAATTCCACTCGCCTTGAAACACAATCTCAAAGAGTAGCTTCCATTTGGAATCAAGCGGCTTAGGGGATTTTTGGTTTCCATGTTGTACGGTTGAATCTCTGGGTTTCTCATCTCCTGCCTTTAGCTAAGAATAGGTTCACAGAAACTCTCTTTTCCCCCTTAGGAGCGAGTGTGTTAATACTCCTCATTCTTCATCTGAAGCCTTAATCCACCATTTGTGACATCTAGGGCCTGATCTGATGCAAACAAGGGTTTGAAAGGCCTAGGGAAAGCGGCGTGGGGCCTCGGGCTATCTCCACAGCAACCAGCTGTAGTGTAATGAATCGAGGCTGATTAGTTCAGGTTAGGTTCCTCCAGCAGCTGAGGCAGAGGGAACAAAGCTGCCGTCTTAATGCCTGAGTGTTAATCAACTAGAAACCAATATATTTTACAAATGGAAACTGTTCAAAAATAGCATGTCTAAATACCATGTTTTTCTGAGTTTTTCAGGAGTTTTACAAGTCAGCCTGCGCCTAAAAGCACATGGCCAGTCTGTTGGTCACGACAGGACAATGTGCAAGGGAGGATTTGAGAATTCAGGCCTTTGTACATAAGACCAAAAGGAATAAGTTAGGCAAATTAATTCCTCATTACTCATGGGAGAGTAAACGAGTGCCGGACCTCTCTCTGTATCAGTCCTCCAACCTGTACTAAAGATGCTCGTCTTCGTGTGGCACTCGAATGAAAATGCTACATGGGTGTTGGGGGTTATTAGTCCTGGGATGTACCTTGTCCAGCTCTTAGTGTGGTGTAGCTGGGTGAAGCATGTTAAAAATTTTCCCCTAAGCTACTGCCAACACGAATGTCATGGAAACGGTCAGCCCCGTGTTCATGAGAGCAGAGCCGTGTGTGCTACCCCGGGGCACACGCCATGCGAAAGAGGGCAAGGAGGGATGAAGAGGGACAGAGCCTGCCCGTGCTGGCTGATGGCACAGGACCACTGTGGGCACTAGGAACATTCTCCCAGGTCCTGAAATGGCCATATTCTGCAAAATGGCTCTTGGGCTTTCCCATGGGCTCTGCACTGCCCTTTTTACTCCGTGCTGGATGATCTGGCTTTACATTGGAGTTGCTATTGTTATTTTTAGTTTCTGAAGGAAATTAGCATGATGGCACCCTGCTGTGTGTGTATCTGCGTACATGCACTTTACTAAGCTTTACACTTTTTGGTCAATTTAAATCCAATTTGGCAGAGACTGGAGGTCTCAGAACACACCGGGGAGAAGAACGGGCTGGGTAGAAGGCAGAAATCAGATTTATACCTCCAGTGAAGGCACAAGTGCTTCTCTTACTAGACATCAGAGATCCCATCTGTGCATGGTGTCACTTGTATTCTCAGTTTATTGTCACCGCTTTCTGTTGAACTGTTTCGAAAATACCCCTTTTTTCCACCCACCTGCTTTTCTCTAGGTACTGGCCAGCCATTGACAATGCTCTGAGATACGCAGCTTTCAACAACAGAGTACAAATCCGGCTCCTGGTCAGCTGCTGGACCCACTCTGACCCAGCCATGCTCTACTATCTGAGGTCCCTGCGTGCTCTCAACAACCCACATGCCCACATCAGTGTTGACGTGGTATGATAAGAAACCTGATTTTGGAAGGACAGCTTAAGGCTATGAGGCTACTGATTTTTGAGTCTAAGCTGCCAGTTACATGTGCAAGTGTCAGGTTTTAGAGAAGCAGATTGTCATTTGTTGCAGCAACTGCTGTGGGTCCTTGAGAAAATAAGGCCCAAGAGATAATCCTTGAGGAAGCAGCTATTGCAAGCTGCTAGTGATACCAAGGGATGTGCCTAGGTGCAAGACTTGGAATCATAGAATCTTAGAATAGTTTCAGTTGGAAAAGACCTTTAAGATCATCAAGTCCTGCAGCATCTTTCTTGTAGTGAGGGTCCCAAAACTGAACACAGTATTCAAGGTGCGGCCTCGCACAATCACTTCCATACTCCCGCTGGCCACACTATTCCTGATACATGCCAGAATGCTGTTGGCCTTCTTGGCCACCTGGGCACACTGCTGGCTCGTATTCAGCTGACTGTCAACCAGTACCCCCAGGTCCTTTTCCACCAGGGTGCTCTCCAGCCGCTCATCCCCAAGCCTGTAGCGTTGCATGGGGTTGTTGTGACCCAAGTGCTTGCGACATTATCCAGGCAGTCACTTTTGCTGAGCACCATGACAGTTACAGTTTATATGACAACTTAGTCCTCTTCTCATAGACCTTTTCCTGTATAGGGTATCTTAAATGGGTTGAATTACATTCAGTATTTTCCAGTTGAGAGCTCTGCTTACTGCCTATACAAATAGAACCATTTTTGAACACTACGAATATTAGACACAGGCCATAGGCACTAGGCTGGAATGCATCAAGTGGGGTGGAGATGGTGTGGAAGGTCCCAACATAATGCAGTTATCACGACAGAGAGAAGTCACAGATGTAAGGAGGAATGTGTTTACAAAAAAAAAAAGAATAAAAAAAGGAACAGAAATGTAGGTTTTAGTAAGAGTTAACAGAAAAAGTTAGGCATTATTGTTGCCTGCGGTACCCCTTGTGTCTGTGATCAGCCCATTCTAGCACAAAATAAGAGCAGCAATCAGTGGTAAATGCAGATCTGTTAAACAGCTGCCTCAAACTGCATTTAATTGTCTGCCCTGGAATGATAATAGCTGTGCCACTAATGGAACATTGTGAAACAAACATTATCCTTATCTGATCTCAATTGCTTATCCAATTTTATGTATACTGGAAGCACTATCTGTTAGTTTTCTTGGATAAGAGTAAAATCTCTTTTATGGTACATTTAATAACAGTGTGTGGAATATTCTTTTCTGTTCTTTCTGTGCTATTCCATTCTTTGAAAATATAGAAAATCTGCATTGTCCAGTTACTCAATCTGTTCCTCACTCTGGTATTTCTGTTTGTTTTTAATTTCTCTCCATCCAGAAACTCTTCATTATTCCCGTTCTGAATCACACAAATATTCCTCATGGGAGAGTGAATCACAACAAATACACGGTCACCGATAAAGTAGCCTATATCGGTACGTATTCCATTATTCCAGACACTTACAGTATCTTCAGATCTATAGGACTGAGACTGAGATAGCATGGGCTGCAATATCAAAAAAGACCTCATTTTGCCATGTAAAGCAGATAAAAAAATATCAAAGTATATGGTTTTATCAGAATGTATGCCCTGGGTAAAGAAGTAGAGATGTGAAGGGGAGAAAATCATGTAGGTCAAGTTCAGTGAGAGATTATTTTGTATGACTGTGATCCATTAAGAGCAGAGCATGACAGGTCGGAGTGCACAGCCTGTGCCAAGCGCAGCGGGAATTTCACAGACCGTGCACTCGGAACGATGCAGCATTAGCTGGTGCTCTGGTATATAACACTATCACACTTTAATGAAAAGAAATTGCTGGGAGGAATTAATTCCCTGCACTGTTTGCTGAACAGGATTCTAGGAATGGAAATGAGAAAACAGCAGTGTCGATCGCTGCTCAATTCCTGAAAGCCAGGCAGGGTGGTGTTTATTTTTCACTCTTATTAGGATCTCTCAAAAAAGGGAACGTGGAAGGGCTCTGTCATTTCAGACAGCTCATCCTCCAAGCAATGCAAACCAGCAAAGAGCCCGATCTTCCAGCAGGCCGGGGACTTGCAGCTCCAATTGCCTTTAATGGAACTTGTTTCTTATGGAGTTGTCTTTTGAAGGCAGATATGCAGATAATTTGCTTCCATGCCTAAGCACCTTCTGGAATTGACAGTATATTTTTCTGGCTCAGGTGAACACCAGAAGTGCTTAAGTGATAAAATGTGTATTTGCTTCACAGCGTTTGGTTTTCTGATGGTGGTAGCTTTGGAGAGAGCCCTAGACAATGTCTACGGCTGGATTCCCACCTTTGCCTGGTTTGAAAGCGGGCATCGCATGCTGAGCTCAGACCAGCTCCTGAGGATTTATTGATCAAGGGTCCGGTTTCTCCTCTTGTTTTCCTTTAACAAGTAAAGGGAATTAAGTCCATTAAGGATTTTTTTTTTTCTTTAAACACAGAAACCTATATCAAACACTGGCTTTTGCCCCTCTTAATACCCAAATGTTGCCCTCTATTCCCATATTTATAATGAGTAAATTTGTGCATCTCTGCCAGAGGCTGTAAGGAACCAGAGTGTTATGAAGCTTCAGGGTTCCAGTTAATACTGACTTTCTGAAACCTGAGGTCTGGAATAAGAAGGAGGTGACCTGATTTTTGCTTGTCCTAATGAGATTTCCAGTTGTACAGCAAATCAGCAAAGCCAGGCAATGTGGACTTAACAAGTATAGAGATCAAGCGGAACACTGGGAAATGAATGTTTTCTAATTAGCTACTTTTCCATTGCATAGGGACTTCCAATTGGTCAGAAGATTACTTCATTAACACAGCTGGTGTGGGACTAATTATCAAACAGAATTCGACCAACCTGCAAAGAAGGCAATTGCCTATCCAGGAACAATTAAAAAACCTTTTTGAGCGAGACTGGAATTCCAAATACGCAGTGAATCTGGAAGATGTGCAGGGACAGAAAGATTGTAACTGGAAGGGCAGAGTCTGACCTGAACTGAAATGCACCTTTTAAATAGAAAGAAAAATACATTTGAACTTGTTCCCCATGCAAAACAAGGAGCTTTCTTCATCATGCCTTTGTCAGAGAAATCGCTTCCTCGTGGCATCCACACTGTTTGATGAACTTCCCACGGTTCACTCTACCTGCAACACCATCAGTCAGTGTGCACTGTTTCCTTTTTTGTGTGATTACCTCATCCCAGAGTTAATGAAATGCGCACAGTGTTACATGACAAGCTGTCTGATATTAAAACAAACATGGAAGATACAACCAGATCTTAATATATCAGAGACTCAGATCATTATTGCTGTGCTATTTTGTCTTAAGAAGCTATACATCTCTTAATGTTACATTAACAGTGTTTGCTTACGTGTGTTTAAGAATATTTTTAATAAACTCCTGGCCACTTTAAGATTTGAGCCGTGTAAGTAATCACCTACAATAGTGAGGGCAGATGTTTTTAAAGCACTTAGGCATTAGAGGTATGGCGAAATACATGTATTTAAGTGTTGAGGCTGGTTGCCAGAGTGAAATGCCTGGGGTTCAAATCTTGGGGCCATCTTGCATCTCAGCTGCCCTGGACCCCTGAGTGTCTGGGGGTGGTTGAATGTCTGCGCGTTGGCCTCATGCAGCAGATAGGATGGGGCGAGCGGGGCGAAGCTGCTGCCTGAGTGCTGGTGTGGCAAAGGTGTCCTGCCTGCACTGTGGGCAGTGCTCCGGGAGCATCCTTGCTCTTTTAGGGCTGTCCTGGTGCTGGTCCTCACCAGTGCTGGGTCTCTGGGCTGCCTTTTCTTCTGCAGTCACACAGGGACCATAAACCTGAGCTGCCTGGTGCCTGCCACTGCGGTGGCTCTGCCCTGGATGACTCTCAGAAGTGGCAGGAAAGGAAAGCAGGGCATGTGCTCCAGCTGTGGCACTGCGCTGGGCTCCGGGACCCAGCACCTTTGCCTGACACTGGAAATGGAGTTGCAAAGTCAACTTTTTGCTTTGGGACTGGTGTACAGCAGAGGTGAGAGAGCCCAAAACAAAATCCCGGGGCACAGATCCACAGAAGGCTCAGACAAAGTCCCTGTCCCGGCGCTCCTTCTCTGAGCTGTGAAACCCCCAAGGACCTCTCCAGCCCCGAAAGGCGTGTGGCAGCTCAAGGCTTCACTCCTGTCCTAGCAGGGCACCATTTGGTTGCATTCTAGCTCTGAGGCCACCTCTTTTGCCACAGGCACAGCTCTGGGTAGAGGGAGCACAGGCTTTCCCATCACGGTGCAACCTCCCTGTCCTCCAGAGAAGGCATTTTGGTGCTTTTGAATCCCTGCCCTGTGCTGAGAATGGTAAAGGGACCTGCTGTGATCATCTGTGTGTGGACTGATTTATATCTTTGAGAATACACACAAATCCCTGTACAAATAAGGCCCCTTCCCCATGAGGTCTTTTGGAGATGATCCCAACCAATTTTCCATTTTTTGGTTTCCAGGCTGCTCCTTAGCTGTCTCTTCCAGACACTTCCAAGACTCCTTGGATTGTTGTATCCAGCGTTACAAATCAATGCTTGTGTTATTAAGGCAGATTTTTGAAACACATAACTACATTACAGATAGCACTGAAATTTTGTGAGTATTCACATATGTGCAAACATATCAAGGAAGACGCAGGTGCTTTTAGCGCTCTCCTCCCCTATTTCCTTTCTAGAAGCTGCTTAATATTTTGAGATTTCCATTCACTAATTAAAATTTCTGGCAAAGTAGAACCTCCCCAGCTGGTTTTCACTAACTCCATTTCACGGGTTTATTATCCTGGACCAGCAAATACATCTGACCATGCACTGTGCTAATACTTGCACGCGAGAACGAGGTCAGACAGATTTTTCCCAGTGCAATGAGCACATGTGAACGGTGGCTCAGTTTGAAAAGCTTTTTGAGAAGTTTACCAATGAAACTATTTTATTTAACCAACAAAACTATTTTCTATGGAGGAGTGAGCTCCTCTAGATGGCACTCGAGGCTGTGTTTTCACTGGTTTTGGCAGGGGATAGATTTTGCAGGAATAAGAAGAAAACTTCTGTCTCCTCTACTTGTGAGCTCAAATCTGACGGTGCTGGGTAAGTTGTGCAGGAGGACAGAGTTTCTGGGCAAGCTGGGAAACTTGTCTGCTGGTGATATAAAACTTGTGTGGGGTAAGGCTCAGCTAAAGGAAAAATTGATGCTTATGAGAGTGCTCTTTTATTTTCTTTACTGGCATCACCTGTGTTGTTTTTCCTCCATATATGAAGGAGCAGTTTACGATTAAGACAATGAACTTGCATTTATTTCCCTGTTTTCTTGTGAGCCTCTGTAGGCTCCTTCATAGCTTGATTCTCATTTACTTGTTGCCTATTACCAAAGGTAGAGTATGGTGTAAATTATAACCAAGCTTTGAGTCTCCTAGTGCTTTTCTTTCCCATTTATGACACAGGGTTAACAACAGTCCTTATCCACCCTCCTGCTGCTTGCCCTTGCATTTCAATCGTGATTTCTTCAAGTTAAGGACCGTACCAAATGTGATCTGGGGCCTCCGGTAGTATTCATTATCATCTATTTATTATCCTCGGATGGATTTTCTAGTTTGGTGGCAGGCAGTTCAGACTTTTCTCAGTATTGGTTTATTCATGTCTAGAAAAAGTTGGTGGTTTGGGTCTTGGGCATGGATACTCTCCTCTGATCAGCTCATCTCAGGGACCTGTGTTATGGTGGAGTACAACTTAAGTGACGCAGCCCTGCTTTACTTGGGTGACTCTCACGCCGAGCTGCTGTGCCGCTCTCCAGCAGTCTCGTTTCTGAGCGGGCTTGGCTGGCTGCGGTGCCTTGTGGCTACCGTGCTGCAGGCGGCAGCGAAGGCGACAGCAAGGCAGAACCTCACTGGCTCCATAGGTTTATGAGTTCTGACAGGACTACAGTCACCTGGGTTTGTACGTAAGACACCAGCTTGTTCTGAAAGCTTTAGTATTGTCTGTTCTCAATTTTTTCCCCCATTACCCAGGATTTTCTGTTCCAGATAAATCATACCTTTATTGCTTTCACCCACGTACTGAGAAAACTTTTCATCTACCATTTATGCTATATCAAGGTATGCTTAATTTTTCAACAGTCATAAAAATCTCCATAATCCCTGGAAGATAGCTCTTCTGTCATAGGCACTGACTCATGGACCTCTGCTCTCTGCAGCTTCCTGAGGCGGGGAAGGAGAGAGGGAGGTGCTGAGCTCTTCTCCCTGGGATCCAGTGATAGAACATGTGGGAACAGTTCAAAGCTGCGTCAGAGGAGGTTTAGACTTGACATTGGGAACATTTTCTTACCGAGAGTGTGGTCAAACACTGGAACAGGCTTCCTGGAGAGGTGGTCGATGCCCCAAGCCTGTCAGTGTTTAAGAGACATTTGGACAATGACCTTAATAACATTTTAACTTTTGGTCAGCCCTGAAGTGGTCAAGCAGTTGGACTAGAGGATTGTTGTGGGTCCCTTCCAACTGAAATATTCTATTCTGTTCTGTTCTATTCTATTCTATTCTTTATATGTATTATCTTATTCAGGATTAATTTTGGCTGCCTTGCCTTTGGGATATGTGAGGGTTCCTGCTTCAAATATGACAACAATAGAGACATATTCATGTCTTAACAATGCGGGAGTGTCTTCCTTTTTAATGCACTTAGACCTTCTTTTGCATGTCAAATCACAGTTGTAGATTTGTCTGGCTGGATGTTTAGCTGAACAGCCCACATTATCAGATGCTAAAAAATAAGTAGCAGTAGTCAAGGAAACCTACCACAGGTAAAAGAACAACATGAGCATCTCAAACTAAGTATAGGTGGGGTCAGAATCAGACTGTTAACGAAATGTCTATGTTCCGCAGGTTTGTGCCTGTGCTCCTTGCTCCCTTTTGAGCTCTGTTCTTACCTTTTCCTATGGTCGGACCCTTGGGTAATACCTTATTAACTCGGTTGCTTTTTCACTAGCCTTCGCCTTTCCCAAAGCTAACAGTAGCCTATTTGGAGGAAAATTTTATTGCTGATTCTTTTCTCAGCTGCTCTTCCCTTAACTATTTCATTCATCTTTTAAGAAATCATAGTGATTATTGCTCTGTGGTCATTGCTGTCTCAGAGCTCGATTTTAATTGACTTGATTCTGTTGCCTTTGCCACCGACTCCTACATTCAGTGCTGTATAGGTGGATTCCTATTCGTGGGCCTAAGTAAATGGGCACCACCTGGGAAACATTTTATGTGAAGGCTGCTTTGCAGGCAGATGTGAGCTGCTGTTAGAATGGGATGTCCTTTATTACATACATTGCCTTCTTCTGGACTTAGTTTTTCTGTCTTGATTGCAATGTTTTCCTCAGTTCTGGTGTACGCCGTGGCTGTCTGATATGGTAATTTTGGGCCTATTGAACAATGACTTTTATACTTAGGGAAACTTCAGGGAAATGCTGCACGATCCAAATAGATGACGCATACCTAACACTTATGTGAACAATCTCTTCAGAGATAACTAGAATTCTCTCTACAATAACTGCCAGCGGTTCTCTTCAGAATATTTAAGCCTGCCGCAAAGGTACAGAAATGAAAAACGTCTCAAGCTACAGATGGTTAAACAACCAAGTACACTTCCTTTACAACTCAGTTTCTAAATGTTTGGCTGTGTCTGCTTTCCCTTATTAAGTAGAATATGGAGAAAGAAAATACAGGATGAGAACACCTGGAGTACTGTGTCCAATTCTGGCTCCCCAGTCTAAGAAAGATGAGGAAGTCCTGGAGAGAGTCCAGAGAAGGGCAACTAAGATGATGAGGGGACTGGAACATCTGCCCTGTGAGGAAAGGCTGAGGGAGCTTGGCTTGTTTAGCCTGAAGAAGAGAAGACTGAGAGGGGATCTCATCAACACTTACAAATACCTTAAGGGTGGATGTCACGAGGACGGAGCCAGACTCTTCTCAGTGGTGCCCAGTGACAGGGCAAGGAGCAATGAGCACAAACTGAAGCAGAAGAGGTTTCAGTTGAATGTGCGGAAGAACTTCTTTACTTTGAGGGTGACAGAGCACTGGCACAGGCTGCCCAGGGGGGTTGCGGAGTCTCCTTCTCTGGCAATATTCAAAGCCCGCCTGGACGAAATCCTGTGCAACCTGCTCTAGGTGAACCTGCTTTAGCAGGACGGTTGGCCTGGATGATCTCCCGAGGTCCCTTTCAACCCTTGCCATTCTGGGATTCTGTGATTCTGTAACACTACTATCA